CTCTCGTGGACTCCCACATGGACCAAGTGCCACCATGTAAGCCTTCCTGACTGCTGAGCATGGTCAGAAGCAGAAGACAGAAGACTGAGGTCACCCTGCATGGGCTCTGAGACAGCCTTTTACAGGAAACTGGGGGATAAAGTGTAAAAAGCCAAGATGGTCCAGAGGTCAAATAACCGTTAAGTCATTTCATTTGGAAAGCCACCCATCATCTCACTTGGAAAACTAACAACTACTATCAAAGGTTTCTCCCTCATTTGTGACAATTTGGTCCGCCTTTAACTGATCGGGAGTGTAACAGACACCCGATGAGATTGTCTGCATACACAAGGGCAGCAAAGTTTTGAAAACCTAAAACAAGGTATGAATTATTTAAGAGTTAAAAAAAGACCCAAGCTTTTTATACCTTTTTATGGTATTGGGTGACACATCAACTACTGATTGGGGACAATTTTATTACAAGATCATGATAATGTAAAACATTTTGTAATGTGCTCTAGCAGAAAATGATTGCCAAGGGAAAGAAGTTTATTTGTCTTCTTTAAAGAGAGAAAGTTTGGCAATTACTTGAGCTATAACATCACTGTTTGGGACAGTACCCTAAGGACTGATCATTAAGCCTTAACACTTGGATAAAAACTACCACTGAGGAGCAGAGGTGGCTACAGATGATTACAAGACCTCAAAATAAATATTCATATGCTCCCAGTTGGTGAAAATCTTTCTGGAGGAGTCCTCATAAAAACCAGAGACTCTAAATGCATCTCATGAGTCTTTCCTAATAGGACATCACACTCATAACTTTTCTTTAGTTAAAATAGTTTCACTTAAGAAACAAAAGGAAGAGGGATATGGATTGGAAACACACAACTTCCCACATGTACATTATACTCCCAGCCCCCGTGGAAGGAAGTGAGAGACATAACTGGGCATGGGCATGTACCAGGGCACAGAAAAACAGGCTGAGTCATAATAAAACAAGATAAAAAACTCCAGAGGTTTTATTCTTCCGGCTGTTGAGAGCCCACAGGATTAGTCCTTGCAACAACACTTCTAAAAGAAAAAGTCTGTTTTTCATAGAAATAGGACTGAAGCACCAATGTCCTCCAGGCAAATGGCCAAGGAAGCACTTCCGGATGGACCTGATTACACCCTAGAAGCCTTCCAACTAAGACCAGGGGCCACCTTGGCCTTGTCAATTCGGACTACCCAACACCACCATGAAACTGCTTCCACACACTGCAGGTTCAAATGTAATGAAGCTCTTCCCCAATACTTCCAGGCTAGACCTTGTGAACAATGACAGCATCCGTCTGTGTAAAACAGCCTGTTGCAGAAGACTTCTTGCGACTCATCTGTTTTCCCTCTGGCCTCATGGATCGCCATCCTCTTCTCCAGCCTCCTGCTGTCCTGCTACACTCGGACTGTGACAGTGAAGTACAGGACTCCAAGCCCTCTGTGACCTTCGCGTACTCAGGTCCTTGGCACACGCTGTCCTCTGCCTGGAAGGTCCTTTCTTGTCTTCCCTCCTCTTTCAGTCTTCAGCTCAGTATTCAATTTCACGTCATCTGTCTCTCCTTCTTTCATTCATCTGAGGTCTTCTAGATGTTTCCCTAAACATCCCCTACTGTCGACCTAGGTACTCCTCTGCTGAATTCTCCTAGAACTCTTGCAATTAAAGTATCTATGAAACAGACACACCAGTACCTAGCACGTCTCTGTGTTCCAATAACTGGATCTACCTATAAAATGACTCCAATGAGCACAAAGAGAAGGCAAAGACCACAAAGACAGGACCATACGGACAAGGTTATCAATTAGTGTTTGTTGAATAAATAAAGGATTTTTTTATCTCCATGCCTTCTGTGTATTACCAGGCACAGAGTGAAGAGTCAATAAATATTTGCTGAATGGATCACAGGCACTCAGAATTCTTTGTTGATAAAATGATGGCCAGATGGCCAGAAAGTGTCACACATCAGAATTTATAAACTCCAATTTTCCACTTGCTGACCTCACTTTTTAGCTCTCTCAGAACCTTATTTTCTGGTCCTGAGTTGATCTCACAGAGATATCCCTTGATATTTCCACAATTGTCGAGTCTTTATAAACTTTGATGGTGCTTTCTTCCCCATTCAATCTGCACTCATTTTTTTCCACGTCATGAACATTTAGTCCATATCTTCATTTTTTAAAATCCAATCCCACACAGATCTTTTCTTGCACAAATCCTCTACTGTTTACTACTACTAAGAATTCCATGTCAGGATAATGTCACGCCACTGTGAAGATGGAACCCTCTAGAAATGCAAGGTTGCCAGTCTCAGCCAGAACTTCATGATGCTGACCAGTTCTTTTGCTTGGTGTTAGCCCCTTCATCTATTCTTCTCCACCCTCCCGTCATCTTCAGCCTCCCTCATTACAACTACCCCTCCCTCCCCAATGCTGGCCTTGCCTCCTACTTCATCAAATCGTTGTGGTAAGAAGACATCAAGTCAATTTGCCTTCCCCACCAACACTTTTTATATCTGTGTCTGTCTGTTGCTCCTTCCCTTGTTTCAAAGGGTGAGGTGTCTGTCCTGAAGCCCAGCCTCCATTAAGGATAATCCCTGTACTGTGCTTTTGATCCCATCCTCTTCCCTCTCTGATGGAGCCTTAGGCATTGACTGCTCTGCATCCTCCTCCTAGCTTTGACTTTTCCCTTCCCTTATGAGCCAAGTTGTCCATAGCATCATCCTCTGTTGTGTTTTCAGGTGCCATGCACTGGACCTGGAGTATCCCAAGTGACATGTGTTGAAGTCTTGGCCACCATCCTGGATTGCTGCTGGGAGGTTGTGGGACCTTGAGTAGGTGGGCCTCATTGAGGAGACCAGTCATGGGAGTGTTCCTTCAAAGAAAACAGTGAGACCCCAATCTCTCTTCCTCTTCTCCTCTCCTCTTCTTTCTTTTCTTTCTCTCTCTCCCTCTCTCTCCTTCCCTCCCTCCTCTCTTTGTTCTGTCATCATTGTTGTCCCCAGTCTACCCTGAGAAGAACAGGTTTCCTCTGCCATGCAGCTCCTCCAAGATGCACTGCCTTCCACAGGACCAAATCAAACAGGGACAAGTGACCATGGGCTGAAACCTTTGGAACTATGAGCCAAAATAAACCCTTCCTCTGTTTGCATTGTGTATGTAAAGTATTTTGTTGCAGTAATGGAAAGCTAACACAGCCAAAAAAATATCAAACTTCTACAGGATGTACACAGGGGCAGAAACAAAGAAGATCCCATAACTTGAAAAGTGATTGCTGTCAGAAAGTTTAACTAAAATCAACATAAAATGAATTATTAGAAAGACAGAACAATTTTCAGGCCAGAGTATGGACGAATTAAAGGGATGGGGATTTCATTTAGTCATAGAGTTTGTGCTTAGCATGGGGAGGCCCTGGATTCAGTTCCCAGCACCTAGGAAAAATGATATCCACAACAAGGGAACAGTACACAGGTTGGCAGCAACCATCTGAGACAATAGGTACCTTAGCCAGTGGGCATTAGAGTGGCCTGGCGCAGTGTCACTCTAACTATGATTTCCCTCTCTGACTTCCTCTTATTTTACTTGGCTTCCTAGGGAGATTCCACAGAAGTTGCTCCTACAGAGAGAGAAGCTAACATTTCCAGTCGCTTCAGGAATGAAGGTTCAGATTTGTCACCCTGCTCAGGCAGGACCACATATGGAAAATCTCAAAGTCCATAATCAAATGTAATAGCAACAAGTTTTTTCTAAGAAAGGGAAACAGATCACTCATCGTAACAGAAGTTATGTCATGACAAAAGAAGAAATGAAATGTTGTTACCATCAAAAAGTTCCATGAAGATGTGGAAGCTGGATCATTCTCAAATATTAAAAGACCTTTCTGCATTAGGTAAATTGCTTTGGATAGTTTATTTTTCTTTATTTTATTCATTATGCTTAATTCTGCAGGAACAAACAAATATTTTAATAAAATGTCAAGGTAAAATTATTATTCAAACTTGGGAGAAATATCTCAATTTTAATTACCTGTAAAGCAATCAATGTTTCCAGACTGTTTCAACTTCTCTATACCTTTGGTAGAAATATTTTTGCTAAAAGAAGAAGTCTGCAAAACTGAAAAAGATGACTGTCATTACAATTGGGCTTGTGTCTAAGGCAGGATATATTTTTAAACTTTAAAGAGTAATTATTTGTAAAGTTATTGCTACCTCTATATATGGTATCATATTTTTCATTAATAGACAAAAATAGAAATAAATCCATGATGCAATTTTACTGTAAAAAAACTTTTTTAGCTGGGTGTGGTGGTGTATACCTGTAAACTAGAACTCTAGAAAGCTAAGGAAGAAAGAACACAATTTCAAGCTTAGCAACTTGGAAAGACCCAATCTCAAAAATAAAATATAAGAAAGGGCTTGGGATGTGACTCGGTCAGAAGGCCCAGGGTTTAATCACCAGCACCAAAAATCAAAACAAACAAACAAAGAAAACTCTTTTGTTTGCCATATTATACCTCAAGGCATAAAATTTTTTAATTATAAAAAAAGTGATTGTTTATTTCATCTTAAATAAAATCAGCGCTTTGAAGGTGAACTTCTGTTCATTTCCCTTTTCTGTAAAGAACAAATGCCAAGTCCTGATCCCAGCTACCTTTCTGGAGAAGCTGTATCATCATGATCTTTGCAAGAGCTCCCACTACTGCATGAAGCCAAGTAAAGGCTCTTTCAAGACTGTCAATTAAAACACAGGCAGCTCAGTTGTCGATACAGGTGTACCATTGGGACTGCCCATCAAGGCAGTGCAGCAAGAAAGAATCTGGATAAGGGAGAAGAGGCTCTGCTGGCCTACGGAGACGGGAATGGTAGCACTGATTCTTGATTTTCAGGTCCAGCACTCAAAAGACCTAGCAATATTTGGTTTCTGTCCTTGGAGGTATGTGAGTGCAGTGGTAAGCTCACAATAAATCCTTTTTTGAGTTTTAATTACTTGTGCTAATGCACTTGAGTCACCATGGCATGATGATTGACAAGATGGACAGACACCATGAAAAGATATAAGATTTCTTTCATAGCAAAGAGTAAGGAAATGTATCTGCATGTGGATGACAAAGCAAAGCAGAAAATAAAGCTTCATTCTCTCAGTACTAGGGTATTGTGAAGGCTAATTAAACTCTCCTGATTTTAATCACTGGAGATAAGAAGAATGGGATTTCAAAACAGACTCTGAATCCCAGATACAGATGAGTCTTTTCTTTTTAGGTACTGGTGCGGCACCACTGAGCTAAATAGCCAGCCCTCAGATGAGTCATATTTAATACCATAGACATCAACAGGTGACCACTGTGAAGTTCTTCAACAAGAATGACAAAAACGGTGCTTAGGGGACATTAGTCTGGCAGCAGCATACATAAGAAAGATAGGAGGAACAAAGAGATAATCTGTGCTAGGGTGGTAGTTCAACAAAGCAGAAGACCAAAAGGAACCTGAGACATTATCATAACTTTACGAAGTCTCAGACTTTAAACAAAACATGCACGTGGCCTTCGAAGACTTATGGATGTCAATTAGAAAATACGCCACTTAGCAGTGACTCCATGACGACTAACACCCTATTCCTCCACTAAAGAAGGTAACAGTGCTATTAAGAGAGAGCCGTGGGCTAGTTTCTTAAAGAAAACGCAACACAATCATTCTATTCACATTTTGAAAAACATTTCTGAACCAAATCTTTTCAACCCAAAGAGTGTTCAAAGTTATTACTCTAAGGAACCTCATTTAAGCATTAGAAATTTTTTATCTAGTTTTCCATTTCTTTTTGATGACACAGGGATATTTTAACTATTATTTGCTTCCCTCTATACTCAGCAGGTCATAAAGGTAACAGCATTTCAAACTATATAAAAAATTAAAATTAAATGTAAAAGAATTAAAAACATATAAGCATGAAAGGATGAAAACAGAGCTTTTGGCAGACACTAAATAAATGTTTTCAGTGGAAATAACAAAATATCAGTTTACTGTAATTCAAACAAACATAATCATGACTTTAACTAGTTCACCAAGTGACCTGATATGCAAAGTGCAAATAATGAAAGGTATCAAATGCTATGACATAGAGAAGAAAAAAAATAAGCAAATTTATCAGTCAACAAAATCAGATCACAAATTAAATTGGTTCTATATTTGAACTGGGCTTGTAATTGACTTAGTGTGGCTATTTGCGTTGATGACTACTACACCTTGCAACTGGTCAAGAAGTAGAACGGCTATTCGGTGTTGAGCTTGAATTAGTTCAAGATGCAAATCCATCATGAAGCTATTTTCAGAGATTGGTTTGTAAGTGTCTCCATCTCCATCATGGGAACACTTTGGTCGAGCAGATCCAAACAAAATAAAAAGAAATATAGTTATCAAAAGACACTAAAATAAAATGCAGTTATCAAAACACACTAAACATAGCTGTACCCTATTATTACTCAAGTTATCACCTTACTCGGAGGTATTAAATGCTGCCCATTGTGTACCCTTTGCAATTGGTTCAAGCGTCATAAATATGCTCTCAGAATTCATTGGTGTACTCTTCACTGGCAACTACAGAGTCTGCTCATTTGCCTTTATTTCTTCTGGGAAGAGGGGCATATTTCTGGCCTATGAGAGGAAAGCTACCACAAGTCATGCTTTTCTTACCTATTTGAAGGCCAGCCCGCTTTCTAGTGAAGTAAAACTTCAACCTAAATTCAGATTTTTCCATTCTTACCTTGACATAGCAGTGGTCAATCACTGATGATCCATTTGGCAAAGCAGTTAACAAGCAATTCAAATTTGTTCTACCAATTGCTTTGTCGAGTAGCTCATAAGCAAAAAACAACTGTTCCAAGGGTTTTTTCTAAAGTAATTTTGTAAACAAAAAGAAAATGAAAATTTAAGGAAAACCTCCATACTCTTTTAACAATAATTCAATAGCAATTAACAAGAATTTAAATAGTCCACCCAACAGCAACAGCGCTGTGACTGGACCACTATCAATGAAGATGAAAATAATTAATACAGCTCATCATTGTTCTAAGTATAAGTTAAACTTCATTCACAAACACATATGTAATGTCCATTCATTGTTTGTAAAATTCTGGCTGTAACAAACATACAGGTAAATTCCTACGAGAGAGCCCCACATAATTTGTCATTTTCTCACTTACTTTGAGAAAAAAAATTTTTTTTAAATTTCAGAATCTCAAAGCTGGAAATTTAGACTGAATCCATCAAACTGAATGGTCTACCTCGTGATTTTCCAAAATCAAGTATCTTCTTAATGTAATCATTCTCACGAGACACACAGAATAACTAAAAGAGTAACCGACTTTGTTCAGAGCTTCACACTTTCTAATTTTTTCCAGAATTTGTTAAGGAAATAAAGCATACATAAATATCCATTACCTTAAGACCTTCTGTATAACTGCCCACTGCCCTTGAACTTGGTTTTACAGTTCTATCGCATGTTTTTAACTTTTACTCTATTTGTATGTGGTCTTAACAGTGTCACATCACTATGCCTACTTCATAAATTCTCTTACACAGTTCTACAGGCTGATTTCTTTCACACAACCATAAGTGGCTGAAAATTATTCGAGCTGGCATGTGTAACTGGCGTGTGTAACTCAGTGGGTTACGTGGGCGGGGTTTGGTTAGGAACACAGAGCTACTCTCGCTGTTCCAAACACAGAACTAGAGGTGTCCGTCACCCCTGGAAGGCATGGGCACCAAACATCGAGAAAGTGCCAGAGATGCTTCTGCTTCGTGTGATTCTCAAGAGCTCACTCAGAAGCTTCTGTAGCTCTGAAAATCCAGGAGGCAGCTGACACCAACTGCGGGCACGTGCTACTGGACACTGAAGCACGCGAGGCACAAGGGCCTCCCCCATCTGCCACTGCAAGATGAGAACTGTCACATTTCTTCTGCATAGCTAATTCGGTGGAAGAGGGACCCCCTAGAGCACTGTGGGAATGAGACAGATGCTAGAAAACATGAGACACCAGTGCCACATTTCTCCAACCAGAGAGAGGGATGCAGGGACTCCACGCTGATTCTAGTTCACTCGCCGTTGGAGCTGCAGGGAACTGGTGCTACAGAGTGTGCCACAATTTCCTCACCCCTCACCCGCGGATGGACACTAGACTGCAGTGTGAGGCACATGCCTGTGAATAAAGACCTTCATTCTTCTTTCTTTCCTATTGGTCTAAGACTTCCAGGACTTATTGAACAGAGGACTGGTAGACATTCTTATGTAATTACAAGGGAATAAAGGGATCACTTTTTTTTTTTTTTTTTTTTTTGGTATTGAGGATTGAGGATTGGACTCAGGACTGCGCTTTTGAGGCAGGCAGCACCACCACTGAGCTAAATCCCCAGCCCTATGGATCAGACAGGGAAGAATTCTTGCATTCCTAACTACTAAGAGTTATTTTTTTAAAGGATGGCTGTTGAAATTTGACAAATGCTTTAGTTGCATTTCTTGGTCTAGGGATGTGGTTATTTTTTTCTTTAATCTGTTAATGTGGTGTATTGCATTATGGATTTTCAAACGTTAGGTCTGCACTCCTGGAAAATAATACACACAATTTGATTGTATATAACCAAAAGAATAGCAGGCTCAAGGAGATTCCTAAGTAACCCAAATAGTACAAAGTCAAATAACAAACCAACTTGAGGACAGGATATAAATCATTAGGGACAGACTTTCTCCTATCTAGTTCCCTTCAGGATCCAAGTGGAGATATCACCTTACATAAACAGATTTTTTTTCTAGTATATCTTTTCTTAGGACATAGTCTTTGGTAGGTTCTAACTTCCTATGGGAGTCTCAGAGCCAAGCCCAACTTTCATGTGCCCAAGCCTCATCTCTTGTCCCTGGGTGGCTCTTCAGCACCTAAGCTTCCTTTTAACTATGCTCAGTGATATTAACTGCAGTGCCCACTTGAAACTGAATCATTCTGTGGCTGCTATCAAGAAATCAACCAATTTCTTTCTATACAAAGTGGGAAGGGAAGGGGAAAGGAAATAGGGGAAAAGAAAAAAGTGTGAAAAAGGAAAAAATGGAAACAAAGTCCTTGTAAATAGGGAAGGGTGAGTGGGGTGAAGGGAGGGCAGGGGAATGGGGAAGAAACAAGAACCAAGACCCATGTAAAGGTACAAGATCCCAATGATGAATGTAACTGTATTGTTTGCTTTAAGTGTACCAATAAACTTAATGGGTGAAAATGTTCTTTTAAAATTTCTAAATTATTTTCCACATCAATTTACTGATTATGTCATGTTATAATTAAAAAGAAGCTATCTTGTTATTAATTTTTTTTAAAAAAAGAAATCAACCAATAACAAATGTTGGTGGGGTTGTGCAGGGAAAGGAACCCTTCACGCACTAGAAAAAACTATCATTTGTAAAAGCATATAGAAATATATGAGTATAAGTATATCTTGTGTAAATATGTTGGAAACTTTTTTTTTTTTTTACATCAACAGGCAACACACCAGAGTGGCTAAAAGCTGGACTGTGAGGGCAAAACACCTAAATCAAATACCACTCACCGTGTGACTCTGAACACGCTGGATGTACTGAAAATGAACACTGTGGCTACCCAAATCAGCTTGGATGCCACTCACAAACACAACGCCAAGAGTGAAAAGCACGCTGAAGATGAGCACACACAGTACGGCACTATTTGTATAAACTTTAAAATTAAATTCTTTAACTGTCTCAATGTGTGTGCATATAATAAAGCAGTAAAATACCTGGGATTTATAATCACAATTATTGAGGTCAGGAGTTGGTCGTAAGTAGGGGGAAAGGTACAAATCCATAAATTCAGCCAATCAGAGCAAAAGTATTTGGAAAAAAAACTGCATCTATACAGAACATGGTCAGACTACTTTCTTGTTATTATTTCCTTAACAATACAGTATAAGAACTATTTACATAACATGCTGTACTAGGTATTACAAGTAATCTAAAGATGACATAAGTATAGGGACCGGTTTGCATAGCTTTTAGACAGATACTGTGCCATCTTATTCAAGGAGCCTAGGATCTGCAAGCTTTAGTATTAGTGGGAGGCCTGGAACCAGCCTACCATGGATACTAAGATAACTGTACCATAATATTTTCTTTCTTAAATTAGCAGATGAAAAAATAGGTCTTCATTACAATTGTGCTCACTTCAGCGGCACACATAGTAAAAATGGAAAGATGATATTCTTTATCATTTTACATCATACATTTCAACTGGATTATTTTAACGATACCAATTATTAGGATGAGCATTTAGCAACAGGGAAATGCTAATGAAATGATACCAAGAAAAAGCGACAGAATGCTACTACAGCTAAAAATGAACCCGAAGAGATCAGTATAGAAACTTACAGATATTTTTGTTTTTTTATATCATGAAACATTTTCCAATGTTACTCCTACTTTTGTAATTCTAAATTATGCTTTGAATTAAATCAGGCAAATCAAAATACAATTCACCAGCTTCCTGTCTAGAAAAGTATTCCTTAAGTGTAGTCTATGCAACACTAGCGTCCCAAGTAGATGGTCCAAGTGAGTTAAGATTTTATTCTCAAATAATGGAACACATGGCATTCTGTGTCTCCTTACAACATCGCAGCGCTCGTAAATAAAGTAACGCTTCTGAGACATCTCACAGTAAAGAGATGTATTGTGTTTAATCCAAAATCACTCAGGATGTCTGACCATGGCACCCTTTCCTGAAGCACGGTGCTTAGCATTACCTGGGACAGCTTCCAAATGTCATTCTAGATTCTGCCTGTACATGAACAAATATTTATTGTCCACACAAGGCGGTCCCCACCAACTCCCACTTCGCTCTACAGGACACAACCCATAATATACAGAAATAATTCAAATATCATCAGAGAAGCACTGTAAGAGGAACTAGGCCCTGTCTCCCCCAGCCCCTTTCTCCTCCCAGCACTCACTGGGAGCTTCCCGTGTGCCTTGACTGTTCACGGTGCATCTGAGCAGGTGAGAGCTCGTTCAGCCTGGCAGACACACGTGCTGAGTAACTCTGCTCTATAAGCCTATGTGTTGCAATACATTCAAAATAATGGCATTAATGTAACTGGAAGCCCTGTTAAGAGACTTTATTTGGTAAACTTAGTGGATTTTTTTCTAGAATAAAATCAAAAGGTAGAAAAATATCCCCATAATTCTAAGTATATACAGAAGTCATAACTTCATAAATCAAATTTCATTTACAAATTTTACATTATGTAAAAATAGAAATCCCTATTTTTAGCTATATTTCCTACAATGTATTGTAATACCTTTAATATTGGAAGAACTTCCAGGATCCCTTTTGGAGTCCCCGGGAGTTCCTCAAATCCTTTTCTTAATGGTGTGTCTGAAAATGAGAGAAAGAAAAGAAAGAGAGGAAGGGGAAAAAGAGGAGGAAAATGGAAGGAAAAAAAGGAAGAGAAAAAGAAGAGAATAGAGAGAGGAATAAACAAAGGGAAAGAAGGGAGGACAGGTGGAAGAAAAGAAAAATGTAAATACAGCACATTACAACAATAGAAAGCATACTACACTGGTTATATTTTTAATTGTTCAATTATTTAAGGATCTCAGAAATGAGTCGATGCCCTAGAATTCCACTAAATGCCCAAATGTTTCCTCTGTGTAGCTGAACATTTTCTCTGTGCCAAGCACTGTGGAAGCCAGGGGCGTGTGACTGTAGTCCAAGCTGCTTGGGAGGTAGAGGCAGGAAGATCACTTGGGCCCAGCAGTTTGACATAAGCCTGAGCAACATAACCACGTCCCATCTCAAAAAAAAAAAAGGAAGAAAAGAAAAAAGCTCTTTGCAATACAACAAAGGAAATCAAGAATCCTCTTGGTCAATAAGGTAATGTGATAAAGGTTGGTCTTCCTATACCTACTATAAGTTTATTTTAAAACAGAAAAGAGCAACACAGAAGCCCCAGGAATTGAGACAAATATCAGAAAAGGCCACTTTGAATTAGAGGAATATCAATTATAAATATTTATACAGCAAAGTTAGTTTCTTACTTTAAAATTTACTTAGTAATTCAAACAAAGCAATACATTACTTAAGTAACAACCTCATAAGTACCTTGAAGCAGACAATCATAATTAGTACAGAATGGCTTGTACCCTATTTGTACATGCTAATAAGCTGATGAGAATAATATTCTTAAAAAAAGGTAAAGGTCTTCCTATATGTAAATGTGAACAACCCCTCATTATATCAACATAGACGTATATAAATGGATTATGCTTTAATATTAATCCCCAAACGTGGAACATTTTAACAAAGAATTGATACTTTAGATTGTACTTGGTCCATTTATAATTAAACTGCATAAAACAATAGTCTTCCAAAAGTAACTAGTACATGAAGCAAAAGAATCAAATAACAACTAGACTTTTTAAAAAATCATTGGGTCTTTTGCTTCCAGTAACAAGTAGTCTCAAAAAATTCTCCTGGCTAGAGAAAAGCTAGAAAATATTTTTTCAGTTTGCAAGTTAGAGTTTCAGCACCTGGGAGGCTGAGGTAGGAGGGTCACTGCAAATTCCAGGCCAGCCTGGACTACACAGTGACTTCAAGGCCAGCCAGAACTATACAGTAAGACTCTGTCTCAAAAATTTGCATGTTATGAAGATAATGAAAAAGTAAATGCAGGGCAAGGACCTTGGGAAGGGAGCCCAGGGAGGGCTGAATGCAGGAGTGCTGTGTCCCCCACCCCTAGAGCTTAATTCCAAAATTCCAAAGGGAAGCTGAGAAGCTTTGTGGTGCTTTGATAGCCTTGAAGGCCTAAAGCAACAGGAAATTAGGAAACAAGAGAATACAAAAGGGAAATAAAATACAGAAGGACACAGGTCCTTTGCACAGATATCTGTTGGAGTTCCCGCCCTGCAGCCCATGTGCGAGGGGGTGGGGTACAGGCAACCAAAACTCGCTCTATTCCTTCAAGAAATGTTTGCTCTCCTGAGGAAAGAAGGGGAGAAAATATGAAAGCGGTAAAAGGGAGGAGAAAGGAAGGTTTTAAAAAAAAGAATGAGAAAGAAGAGAGTAAGTGGTAATTAGAAACGGAGAAGGGGAACATACGAATGAGAAGGTGCAGGGCTATCTGCCATCAAGGCCTCCTCTGGGTTTAACACCCAGGCAGTGAAACTATTTCCTTACCCTGGCTGTGTCATCAATGAAGCACGATACTGAACTGCCCAGCTTCCCCTGACAGAAGTTACCCTGTATTCTGATGTACCCATACATATTTCTATTTGCACATCTATGTTAATGGCCTCATATTATCCAGTATTTTACCTAGAGACTTTTTAAATTTTCTTGGTGGGCTTCCTAAAAACTCTAATATTTCGGTCAATCTCAACGTGACCTCCGCCACCACCACAATATCAAAGTCTTCCATTTTAAAGGCGTGAATCACTTCATTTATCTGCCACATAAGATAAACCCACTAAAAAAGAGAAAATGTGCAGCAAAAATCAATGAAAATGTATTACATTAACAAGAGTCACACTTCTCAAAACTTTGAAATATCGTGTCATCTAAAATGTTATATAAATCTCCTTATTAATTATAAGTAATTAAAGTGAGCTCAACATTTTTTTAGCGTATTAAAAAGTTTCACTTGTTTATAGTCTGCATAACTATATAATGGCAAATTTATATTCTGTTATTTTTACATATCAGAGATTATCTGTGTCCTCAAAGCTATTCCCTCTTCATGGCAATGGTGTGTGATCACCATCAAAGTCTTCCAAATTCATGAGGGAGATGCAGGTATTTCAGGCTGTGCTCTAGGTGCCTTAGAAATTGACTTTCAGCCCCATATCCTCAGAGCTTAGCACATAAAACCAACTTTCGCTCTTTGCAAAATAAAATTTTAAAACAATATTTATGCACCCACATGACTACTTAAGAGAGTATGTGATTAAAACAAAATCACATCTATACATCCTAATGTAGGAGACTCAGAGTCACTGGAGCTAAAGTATGTATTGCTAAATCATTCTCTTAAGTTTCCAGGCCATAATATTCAAATGTTCAAGTCTGTCCTTCCCATGAAACCAACAGCCCTTCCAAATAGTCTAAAAATATTATTGCAGGGGGGAAAACACTGAAACTCTTTACTTATTCATATTCTCTATTATGAATCTTGTTGAATTTATCTAAGTTCATGTAACCTTGGACACAAGGTTTATTCCTTCTTTTAAAACTGAAATACTCTCCCACTCCCCAAAATAAAACTGGGGCAGGATTGCAGGAACACAGTTTTAAAAAGACTCACTCATTACTAAAAAGAGTATCTTCTTAACACATATATCTGCAAATGATGGTAGTTAGGCAAATAAACAAGGGAAAATCTAGATTGAAATATATATGCAATTTAGATTAATAAAAAGAGGGAAATGTGAAAAGAAGCAAAAGAAGGAATACTTTGTTACTACTGATTTTCTGGGAGACTTTTGTATAGTCATTTCTGGACAAACTGATCCGATGAATTCCTAGTTTGCATTTCTGCCATAAGAACATTATCATGTCCACAACGATTTCTTTATCAGGTTGAACATTCTGAAAACAAAGTGATAAAAGTGAATGAATAAGAACAGAAAGATATATGTATGTAACATTACTGTGTGCCAAGTAACATGGAGAGCTTTATATGCACCCGTTCATTTAATCCAATAAGCTGAGTATCATCAGCAATCACCTCTACTTTACAGATGGGCAAAGTGAGGCACAAGAAGAGGAAGTGATTTCTCCAAAGCAAATCAAAGAGATTCAAACCCAAACAGTCCAGCTCAAATTTCCAATCTTAAATGCTTATGCTACTTCTGTCTCTTGAAGAAGAAAAGCCCCAAATATTTTTAGGCACATGTGTATATCAACAAGTCTCATCCAATTTTGAAATTCATTTATACTTTCAATTTTAAATATTTTGCATTAAAATAATGAAGAACAGATGAATGGGGAGAGGATGAACTAGTGACCTGAGAGGAAACTGAGAGTGGGTGAAGGACGCAGATAAGGACAGAGAGAAGCTGAGGGGACCTTCACACCGAGGGTCAACAGATGATTCAGAAGGAGTATGTCCCTCTCAAATCAAATTGGTTCTTACAGTGCTTAGCCTCGATGGTCAGCTTGATTAGACTGAGAAACACCTAGGAAATCAGTAAATCACGGTTCTGAGTGTATTTGTGAGGATTTCCCCAAAGCTGTTGGCATCAGAATAGGAAATTGATGGGACTCATCTTGAAGGTGGGTGGCATCGTTCACAGGGTGGGGGTCCATAGGGCACACAGGCAGGCAAAGGAGGAAGCCCAGCCAGCATAAATTCTCTTGCTCCCTCCCTACCTCCTGGCTCCCATGAGATGAACAGCTTTCCTCAGCCATATCCTCCTGCCATGATGTTTCGGTCTCACTACAGGCTAAATGCAATGGAGCTGACTGACCATGAACTTAAACCTCTGAACCGTAAGCCAAAATAAACCCTACCTCTATTAAGTTGATTTTCTCAGGTACAGTGGTACCTTAGTTCTCAAACTTGATTTCTTTTACGAGTTGGGGGAAGATGGCTTTGTTGGGTTTATGTAGGGAAGATGGCCACAATTGTGTTTGTCACCTGATGTGGAGTTTGTGAACGGAAGCAAAATTTTATTGAGTGCTTTTGTTTGAGAACCAAACTGCAAACAGACGCATTCATGAACTAAGGTACCACTGTGTTTGGTAACATCAACAAAGAGCTGACCAACACAGCTCTTGTCAAAGAAGAAAAAAACTGCTACTCATTAAATTTGAATTATAAAGATAATGAGTTTTGTTTGTTTGTTTTGGTACCAGGGATCAAACTCCGGTCCTTGCACTTGCTAGGCAGGCGGTGGCACCACTGAGCTAAATCCCCAGCCGAAGATAATGAGCTTTTGATTAAAATATACCAAACTCTTGAGTTCCTCTGAGGCAACTCTAAAATTTAATTTGATGTATATCATAGTTTAGTACATGCTTGGGAACATAATAGAGACCAACAGCAGTACAAGTTTATTGAATTGAATTCAGCAAAACTAAGACATGTATGGTTTCTTTTCTGATACTGCAAATTGAACCCAGGGCCTTTGCACATCCCCAGCTCTGTCTGTGTGTTTGTGCACATGTACATGTGTGCATGTGTGTGTGTGCATATGTGTGTGTTAAAATGGGATCTTGCTAAGTCACTTCACTAAGTTGCCCAAGGTGGGCTCCAGTCTCCTGCCTCAGCCTCCCAGAGTACTCAGATTCCTAGCATGGACCACCATGCCAGTTTTAAAAACTCGATAGATGAAAGTTCCTTACACTTTTAAGCCTTGATTGTTATTTTTTGTAAAGTTTTCCCACTATAATTCCATTTACTACCAAACACCTTTCTTTCAAAAATTAAATACTTGTCATGGGTTATGACATATTCCAATAAAATCAGAAGAAATGGAAAATATTTTAATGGTGAAACTTCCCAAGTCTTTTACTGAGTTTCACTCCCTGATAAAAGTTAATACAATGCTCTATAGTTGTGGTTTTCAAATTTTATAACAATGAATCCAAATTTTCAAATGAAATTCCATCAGAATCCCAATACAATATACAAAACTAATAAAAACATATTAGGGTACTACAATTCAAAAGCATTCCCTGTAAAATCAGGAATGAATTAAGAATGTCTATTCACTCTCATCTTTAATATAGTACTCAAAACTTTAGCCAGAAAAATCAGGCAAGAGAAAGAAATAAAAGAGATAAATAGAAAAGAAGTCAAATTATCTCTATACACAGATGGCATAATTCTTTACATACAAGACTCAAAAAAATCCTCCAGAAGACAAAGTGACAGGACACGAAATAATGCACAAAAATCAAGTGTTTCTGTACACCAGTAATGAACCTACTGAGAAAGAAATCATGAAAATGGCCCTATTTACAATAGCTTTTAAAAAATTAAGAATCTAGGAATCAACCTAACAAGGAGGTAAAAGACTTTTATAATGAAAATTATAGTACTCTGAAGAAAGAAGTTGGAAACAGTGTTACAAAATGGAAAAAAAAAAATCCCCTGTGCCTGGATAGGCAGAATTAATATTGCTAAGATGGCCACGTGGTATTACCAAAAGCAATCTATTGATTTAATGTAATTCCTATTAAAATATCAATATTTTTACAAAACTAGAACAAAATAATCCTAAAATTTAGATAGAACCAGTAAAGAGCCAGGACAGCTAAACAAATCCTGAGCAAAAAAAGCAAAGCAAGAGGTATTACAGTTCCAGATTTTAAGTTATAAATATGAAGCTACTGTAAAAACAAAATAAAACAAAACAACAAAACAGCATGGTGGTGGCACAAACATAGATATATAGACCAGGGAATAGAACAGAAGATACAGAAACAACCCCATATACTTTTAACCATCTAATATTTGACAAAGAGATCAAAAACATATGCTGGAGAAAAGATAGCCTCTCTAACAAACAGCACTGGTGAAACTGGTTATCCCCAACAAAGGAAAGAAACTAGGCCCTTATATCTCACCCTGTGCTAAAATCAAATCAAACTGGGTCAAAGACAAAGATATAAAAACAAACACTGAAAGTGCTAGAAGATAATTTAAGGTAGACACTTGGGGACACAGGCAAAGGCAATGACTTACTGAATACAACTCCAAAAACACAAATAGTATCATCAATAAATGGGATTACACTATCTTAAAACAAAACTTCTGCATGACAAAACAATCAACAGAGTGAAGAGACAACCCAAATTTCACTAAGCACATTAACTCCTCCTTATAGCCACTGTTTCCTTCATCGTTAGAAACACAGTTCACCTAGGGATTCCCCACCAAAGAAACAAGTGACACCCCAGAAAAAGACAAGAAGACACTTACAATTACAACTCAGGTCTACCTCAATCCTGTATTCTAATGATTATATAAGATAGAATGTTAAATGCAAATCCTACAATTTTTGTTGTTTTTTGTGGGGGTTTTTTGTGTGTTTTGTTGTTGTTGTTGTTGTTTTATACCAGGGATCAAACTCGGGACCTGATGCTTGCAAGGAAGATACCAGAACCACTGAGCTAAATCCCCAGCCCCAACAATATTTTCAATTTGGCCTTAAATGAGGTTCCATGATCCTACTGCATGCTATTGTTATTCAAAATAGCCAGTTCACCTGGGGAGAGGCACAGACACAGAAATACAGGATTGCCGCCAAATGAAAAATATCTTCTGAATATCCACAAATCTTCATAAAAGTATCTGCATTCAAAAAGTAGAAGAAAAGGAAACAAAGCTTTTGGGACAACTACAAAACTTCAAATATAGAAGACAGAGACTGCTTTAAAATTGACACAAATTATATCTGGGGAAAATATCATCTCAATAAAATAATTTAAACACTTCTAAAGGAAATTTGATCTAAGTTACCCTAATCCAATTAAGATAGATTATTACAGTGCTCTTATACATTCACATTATGTATGCTAATGACATCCAAAGAGAAACTCAAGTAGCTTATAGTAATAAAATGCATCTAAAATGTGGCAACTGAAAGGAAAATATCAGAAAAGAGTGGAAGGAAAAAATCATAGCACTGGACTATAAAATTATTTACCCATGCAATGTCTTAAGTACATGGAAAGCATAAAAATATAAGGTGAGTTAATTAATTAAAATAAGGAATTCATCAATTAATAAGTCTCATTAGCCTCAAAAGCAGACTTGATTTTCAAGGACATACACAGCATGTGTGAAGGTATTTAATTCCTAGGGTAGAAAACGCTGCATGCAGGAGACAGAGGGGCAATCAGACCTCCCCTTACTAAAGCAAACCCATGCCTTCGTTCTTTGATTCTGGGCCCTTGAAAGTCAGAGTTCATTCCATTCCTGGAAATTGTAGCCAGCATTAAATGCAGCACCCTTCTAAGGCCCAGAAGCAGCACCCCTGGAGGCCAGCTCCTTCTCTAACCGGGTCATCTCCCACACCCTTCAACTGCACCCTCCCACCCAGGGCCTCAGGCCCCTTCAAGCAGCAAACACAGCTTGCTTGCCTCGGAGCTTTTCTACCTCCTGCTTCCACCATCCTGAATGTTCATTCTCTTACCTCCCCTAGCAAAAGCATATTCATTATCAGAGAAAACTAAATTTTTCAAAAAGGTAAATACTCACCATCAAAAGTAATATTTTTCAAATACAGCTGAATTGCCTGTCCTTCTTTATAGTTTTCCAAAGGAAAGATCAAGCCCTTATTTCTCCTCACATTGATTAGAGGTTCTATGGCGAGCAAAAGCGTTAAGTCCTTCTCTGCTTTCTTTGCTTCTGGATCATCCTGCCTCTTACAGAAGCATAGTCCACAAGTTAATTACTATGCCAGTGTCATTTTAACAAACAAAAACAAACAAGTGGCTTTACATACATTACCTGGAGAAAAGAAGAAAGCTGCTCGGCTGAAGACTCAAATAAGCCCCATTCTTCATAAGTAAAAGCCAATTTTATAAATTTCACAGCAGCATCCATAGAAATAATATTTTTTCTTTCTATCATAAGTTCCCAAAGAGATGTTTCTGGGAAATCAAGCATTCCATGCGTGCCAGTATTTGAAACTAGAAAAGGAAAGAGAAAGATTTTACTATCATCCATGCAAAGAAGCATTTACTAAGTGTTAGCTATCAGATACTGCCAGGCACTAGGAAAACAGTGGCCACACGCACACGCTGGACTGTCAGAGTTTACACTCTCCGGGACAAACAAGAAACTGAGGGGCAAATACGGGTACTGTGGAGACAAACAGGAAGAGCATGCAACAGAGATCTGGGAGGACAGCGAAGCCAGGAGAATTAGCAGTGGCTAACGAGCCACACAGGCAGCTATATATTGATAGCCCACGAAAAGAGATCTACCATAGGAATATTGCAGGCAGCATCACCGAATATCCACAGTAAATGGGAACATCCACTATGGCCATTGTTTACTGCCTAATACAGAAGCAAAAAACCACCACATTAGAGAACAGAGAAAAGACTGCAAGAGAGTGCTTAGCAAAACAAGAGGTAGTCAACAAATCAAGAAGTAGTCAACAGTAACAAATACTACCAAGAGTGAAGGAAGCAAACGACTGAAAAGTGACCTTTTGATTTAGCAATAAAGAGGTTGCCCAGGATGTTCTTAATAATGGGTTAGGTTCCAAAGACTTCTTCATATGCAAGTAGGAAGGAATTTGGACCGGTGAAAATACGCCATCCCTTTGATAAATCTGTATCGAGGAGATACAGGGAGGAGCTCAAAGGGGGCATGAGACAAAGGGACCAGTTGGAGGGAATCCGCTTAAAAGGAGGAGGATGACCATTTCCTTGTTAGCGAGCGGCAGTAGAAAGGACGGATGCAGACGAGGGAAAGTTTTAGGGTTTCAGGGAAAGAAATGCAAGGAAACGCTCACCCAAGTATTTGTGTTTTTTTGGTGAAGAGAAGATGAGCCCACAATGCGGCACATAGGGTACTTGCCTTCAGATAGGGCGAGTCCGCCTGCGTGCGTTCACTACGCATGCACGCACGCACGCACGCACATACGCATGCGCACACTACACTCAGCTAAAAGCACCTGAACTGTGGTGTAGCTTTTCACCTTTCCTCCGTGGACATTTAGCCAAACCAGGTGATGGTCACAAAGCCAGAGAAGGTGGGGTCATGAGGAAGAATTAAATGCGCAAGCATCTTCCGTGGAAACCACGAATTAAACACCCTTTACCACAGGAAGCAGAAAAATAGAACAGAATGGACAAGAATTTACAAGCAAGGGCTTGCTCAGAGAAAGAGGAGGATATTAGAAATGTGAGGCAAGGAGAAGCTGCCGTGGAGACTGGGTATGAAGCGTACCGTTGCTGCAACAGCTCAAACGTGAAAAGAGTAATAGGACAGCGGAAATCAAAGAATAAATTGAGTGACCTATTAAATGAGATTGAGAAGCCTTCACAGAAGACAACAGAAAGGAAGATATGAAAATAATAAAATAGAATATTAGGGAGCATGTAGGCGTGTTAGTCTTTGTCTAATACGAGCCTTGAGATACTAAAAAATAAGCAGAGGAGAAAATAAAGTAATATGAACAATTAAAGGTATAAGAGCTCAAAGTACTTCCGCAATATTAAACCCATATGTACAACAGAATAAAGTATATGTATATCATAAGAAAGAAAATTGTAAAAACCTGATGCAAAAAACAAGATTTAAACTGACACTAGACTTCCAAACAAATATTATATACAAGACTACAGAGAAATGTTATCAAAATTTAAAAAGAAACAGACAAGTAAAATATATGTAACTAAATTACTTCAAAGTGCTTTATATTTATTCTGAGCAAAAACAAGGGAATTTTGAGCTGGGGATTTAGCTCAGTGGTTCCACTGCCTGCCTTGCAAGCACAAAGTCCCAAGTTAGGTCCCCAGTACAAAAAAAAGTGAATTTTGAAAGAAGCAATGAAAAATGAGAAGTAATAATGAGGGGAAAAAAATCTTAATAAAGCTATTTATTATCTTACAGAAGCTATGATTAGGACTTATATCTAAAACTAAAGAACTCGAAATGCGAGAGAAAAAAATAAGCACTAATTAGAAAATGGGCAAAAGACTGAAGAGAAGCAAACGTACAGATGGCAAATATGCACATGAAAAGCTGTTCAACATCTTTAGTCATTAGGGAAATGCAAATTCAAGAGATGATGAGATAGCACCATATACCTATAAGATGGAATAAAATAAAGTGTAGTGGGCTGGGATGTAGTGTAGTGGCAAAGCACTTGCCTAGCAAGAAGAAGGCCATGGGTTCAATACTGAAAAAAAAAAGTGGTAGTACCAAATGTTGTCAAGGAATTTAAGAAACTGAATCATTCACATGTTGCTGATGGGAATATAGAATATTACAGTCAACCTGGAGAAGGATATGGCAGTTTCTTACAAAACTAAATATGCACTTACTAAATATACACTTACCATATGAACAAGTAATTGAACTCCAGAGTATTTATCCCAGAGGAGTGAAAAATTATTTTCATACAAAAACCTATGCTCAAAAGTTCATAAAAGCTTTATTCCTAATAGCTAAAAACTGGAGACAGCTCAAATGTTCTTCACAAGTCAAGGATTAAACCATCCGTGGACCATCCATACCATGGGATGCTACCCAGCAATATAGTAAGTAGTGAGCTACTAATACACACAACAAATTGGATATATATCAAGGGGACACTGCTAAGTGAAGAACAGTCCACACACATACAGATACCTTCTTCATAAAAAACGTATTGTAGTCAACAGGGATAGGAAGCTGTCTTCAAAAACGAGTCCTGTAGCAATTGGATATCTGCATCGAAATAAATAAATATTGATACTCACCTCATATCAATTGAAAAGACCTAATTTTGTAGACCTTGTGCAAAAGAAAAATAATAAAGCTTACTGAAGAAAACATTAGAGAATATATTTATAATATTGGAGGATCAGAGATTTCTTAAACATGACACAAAAAGAATTAATTATAAAGGATATATTGATTAATTAGGCTTCATTAAAATTAAGATTTTTTTTCCCTCAGACATCCTTAAGCCAATGAAAAGGCAAACCACCAAATGGAAAAAGACATTTGCAATATTCAATATTGAATATTGCAATAGTTGGTAAAGGATTTAGATTCAGAACATGTAACAAAAATCAGAAAGGGGCAAATAAGGCCAACAAGAAAAAGAGGTGAACAATTTGAACAGGCCCTTCACAAAACAGGATGTCTGTATGGTTGAAATTTTTTTGAAAAAGTGCTCAGCCTCATTTGTGATCAGAAAAATGCAAATTAAATCTGTAATGTAATACCAACGTATCACCACTAAATGACAAAATGAGAAGACAGTCACTAGGTGTTCATGGACATTGGAACAATTAGAATTCTCCTATAATGCTGGTGGGATGTTAACTGGGATAACAGTATCTGTGATAGCAAAACAGACAGGCATATCCTATGCACCAGTAATTCCACTCAGACAGGAATGCACGGTGGATGATGTTCAGCAGATCTCTCTCCCTCTCCCTCTCTCCCTCTCTCCCGCGCTCTCTCTCTCTCTCTCTCTCTCTCTCTGTAGTTCATGGAACAAGCTCACCAGAAAAAATAAATAGAGATAGAGAAGATCTAATCACATGATTTACAGACTTAAACAACATATATAAAGTACTGTACCCAATAAATAAACTATAGTCTTTTCAAGGCATATTATGTATCAAAATTGGTCATAATATCAACACATAGCAACAGCTTCTAGTAATGCAGATCAACCTTCCTGACCACAGGCTAATTAAGTTAAAAATCAACAACAAAATGATACAATACAGTAATTAGAAAATCCCCTATATTTTGACTCATAGCCCATAGATCAAGAAGAAATTACATTGGAAATTAGAAAATACTGTTAATTAAACTAAAGGAAAAGTATGATCTATAAAAATTTCAAGTGCACAGCTAAAGCTGCATTTGGAGAGAAATATCTGATGTAAATCCTGAAAAATCAATTATCTAAACTTCCAAGTTATTACACTTTTAAAAATCAGTAAAACAAACCCAAGAAAGGAAAACAAAGAAAATAATAACATAGAAAAAAGACATACAATAGAAGGATCAATGAAGTCAAACACTGTTTCTTTTAAAAGACTAATGAAATTGATGGACACCTGGTAAAACTGATTAAAAAGAGAGAGGGAACAAATTGACCAATGTCAGAAATGAAAAAAGACATTAGGACAGATCTATAGACACTAGGAAGATCACAATGAAAGAAAGAACTCAATGAAAATTTAAAACCATTGGATAAAATGGAAATTTTTAAAAAATATACCACTTACTGAACTGACATAAGATGCAGAAAAGCAATAAAAAGGAAACTTGTATAATTTTATATCTATGGAAGACACTGAATCCATAGTTAGAAACTTCCCCATGAAGAAAATCCCAGGTCCTCATGGCTTCACCAATAAATTCAAATAACATTTAAGAAGAAATGATAACAATCTGAAACAAATACTACCACATAATAAAGGGGGAATAATTTTCAACTAATCTTATGAGACCAGCATGATCTTGAGAACAAATGCTAAAAAGAACATCAAAAGAAAAGAAAACCCTTCCCATAATAAAACAGAAATACTAAGTCCTAGCAGGCAAATCAAGCAATATAACAGAAGGCTAATCCTCACCTCCAAATTAGGTTTATTCCAAAAATAGAGGACAGCTAAAATTTAGGTAAACAATCAATGTAATTCACCACATAAATAGAAGAGAAAGCTGTTTAATCAACTCGGCAAATTTCAATAAATCCAGAAAAGACTTTTGATTAAAATTCAACTACTATCCAGAATTAAAAGCAAACAAAAAAATCTTAGGAAGTCAGGCATAAAAAATGTTTCCTTTCTCTGAAGAAGGATATTTATCAAAAATTCCTTTTATTTTTCAGTGCTGGTGATCAAACCCTTGGTCCCATGCAAACTAAACACTCTACCACTGAGTTATACTTCCAGCCATAAGCAGACAACTTAATTAATGGTAAAATGCTGAAAATTTTCCATTGAAGATCAAAAATGAGATAAGGATGACTACCAGGACCATGTCTTTCCTACATGTTTAGGGGACATCCTAGTCAGTGCACTAGTCAAGAAATGAAGGCAAAAAGAAATTAAGAGATTAAGAATTGGAAAAAAAGGATATAAAATCATCCTTATTCACAGATAACTGCATACCAAAAACTAAGACATTATTTGAATTGTTAATTGACTTTAGCAAGGTTGATGAACTCCAAGTAAATATATAAACTGGATATCAGTTTCTTATGTCGATTCACATGCTAAAATTCCTTATTCATGTCTACCACAAAGTATTAACATCTTATTTACTTATTAAAAGTTCCTTTCCCGCCATAAACAGCTCTGAGACAACATCGCGAAGCTCCACTTCGTCGGTAACAAGAGGCCCAGTTTGCAATATTCGCCGATTTGAATCCGAAAGAGCTTCCAAGACAGCCAGAAAACGGGATGCGGTGCCATCGAACATCTCATCCAACAGCCGTTCCGTGGAGGTCCGTGGCCAGGGCAACTGGGAAAAACAGAAAACACAGGCCACTTGGTAAGGATATTAGAAGGCAAAGGAAAGCAAGCTTACCTAATGCTAAAATAAAAGGGTGATTATTTTAACAATGAAATGGTTACTCCTAGGGTTTTCGTTTTGGAGTCACTTCAGGCTCCATTTGAATTTATGTCATCCTGTCATTAAGTCAGACTTTGCTACTTCTTTATATCATGTGTGGTTTCAGAGCAGTGTAAAGAGGCTGTTTATTATGATCTTTCTATTGAGCCAGTATCATCTCTGTATGCGCTGTGCTACCTTAACTAGAGCCTTCCGGGACTGATACTCAAACCTTCTTTCATAACAATCACACATTGATGCTTTGCCAAATTCAAGACCGAATCTCCAGAGATGCCATGGGTCAGGATGGGTCACTGTAAATAAATAAGCACTGCAGGAAATTTTAATGTGGAATGTGCTCAAGGTCCTGTTGGAAACAGAGTTTTATAGTAGAGAGAGCTAGGCTCATGGCCGCTGACTCTGAGGAGCGTTGACACGCTGTACAGTAGGGACCTTTGGGTCCTTGGAGACCTCCTAGTCTCTGCTCCTACTGCCCAGTGACTTCACACCCTGAAGACAGCTGTCTCCATACTGCACTCTGGCTAACGGCCTGTTCTCTGCATCTGGATTTGTACACAAGACCGAGTCAGCTGATGTTTCTAGAATCTATATCCAGCTCGAAGATAACAACCATATTCCCCCTGACCCTCTTTCATTTGTTTCTCTTCTTGGGGTAAAGTCATAAAGATAGAAAAATAAAAGAAGAAATAAAACTGCTTTGGACCTTTTTCCCAAAGCAACGGCTTCTCTAGTCATTTAGCTTTTACGCTTTTGAACCCATAGGTCAACCGAAACATTCAAAACTTTAAAAAAAACTTTTTTTAAACCTTGAATTCCACGCCTTACCCTCTCTCTCTTTATAAACAGAGGTAAAGGCTTCTTTTAAGATTTTTATTAGGGGTTAAAACAGAGCTTTAAAAGTAAGCTGAGCGTGTGTTCCTGTACCCTGTACCCCACCCACTCAAGAGGCTGAGGCAGGAGGACTACAAGTTCAAGGACAGACTGGGGAATTTAGCAAGAATATGTCTCAGAATAAAACAAAAAGTGCTGGGGTACAGCTCAGTGATACAGCACATGCCTCACAAGTATGAGGCCCTGGGTTCAATCCCAGTACCAATAACTAACAACAACAACAACAACAACAATAATAATAATAATGTAAAACAATGTTGTTATTACTATTTAGTTTTCATTTTTATAGGTCTTTTATTACTTTATATGTTTTTTATTATTTTTTATTTTAATGGGTCTTTTATTATTATATATTTAAATAGTATAATGAACTTTCTAGTAATTGTGAGCATTCCCCCAAAATGGTAGTTTTTCACCAGTTGGTAAAAGGATCAAGATATTTTTATATTTATAAAAATATTGTTGAAAATTTAGTTAAAAGGGATAAAAATACTTATCAGAGCTATAGATGAATACTAAGTAAATAATTTTAAAATATAAATATTTACAAGATCTATAAAACATTAAAACTCAAGCTCTAAAAGCAATGGATTGTCAAGTATGACAAACAAAATAGCAATGTCTATCAAAATAATGAGTTCATTTAAATATATTTTAAAAGTTAAAATATTTACTAGATAAATGGTCAAAGACTAAAAGATAATTCTGAAAAAGGAAATACAAAGAGTAAACATAAATATAAATATAAGGGAAAGGGGTATTGAAATAAAGTGATAAGACATTTTTAAAAACTAAATTAGCAAAAAAAGATCTAAACAAATCCACTAGCTTAATTAGCAAAATATGTTTAAACAAGTATCACAGTAATAGCTGGTGGCAGAATTGATACACACAGGCCACCAACTTGGAAACAGGAGAATCCATATTGGAAAGCAATTAGATAACGTGTGCCAAGAGTAATGAAAACATTCGTATCCTTTAACTCAGTAATTGTATAATTTCAATTTTATGCACAGGAAATAAAGGAAAGGAAAACAGTGCACCTGAAGATGTGGCATATTTACAATAGCAAAAAAAAATTGGAAACAACTAAAACAACAGAACTTAAAATATTAGATTAGTTGTGGCACATATACTGCATACGATGTATTATACCCTTTTTCATACTGTCAGGATGGATGGAAACCTAACTGACATCCCTGGACAGTTTATTCCACCTCCAAATGCTGTGGTCTCCAAGGCATGTCCTCTATAAGATGTACGATGCTAATTCTCCCTCGTAACACACCCTCCCCAGTCAAGCTCTGTGTCTCACTGTTCCCAGCAAATTTTGCTTACTTTGGCTTCCAAATGAGGATCATGTTCTGATCCTTTACTTAGAATGTTTGGGGTGCTGGGGATTTAGCTCGGTGGCACTGCGCCTGCCTCGCAAGTGCAAAGTCCTGAGTTTGATCCCTGGTACCAAAAAAAAAATGTTTGGACCTTTTTTCCCTGTCTGGCCAAATCCTGCCCATTATTCCAAGGTCACTCAAAAATCCAGGACTGCAAATCAATCTTTTCTATATGCCACTATACTTTAAAACAAAACCAGATAGTCAACACACAACATTGAATGAATGAATGAAACATAATTACAGTAGCTAATGTTTACTAATGACTTATTAGGTGCTAAGAAACTCCCAGTGCCTTTATGTTTAACTCGTTTAATCCCCATCATCATTTTTCCTTCTTAAACTTATCAAAGATATAATTATTTATAAATTTATTTATGTCATTTCTGCACAAAAATGTAATCTTCATCTATCTTGTTCAAAAAGTAGATACTTTAAAAATATTTATTGAATTAATCAATAAGTGGTTGATTATTAGGTATGTGAATTAATAGTCTTTTAAAGAATCTTTTCAAAGTCAAAATGATTTACATATTGTAAGTTAACCTACAAACAAATTTTCTAGAAATTGATTTAATGAATATCAATTATTTTATTTTGGGGAAACATAAAAAATTATTTCATACATGCAAAGTAGAACATTCTGTAAAACAAGGTAATATGACATTATAAAAAGGGCATGCTAGCTAATCTCTGTAAAAACTACCCACTAAGCAGTTATAACTTTTTCCTAAAAAAAAAAAAAAAATGAGCTTTCATATAATTTTATCTGGAATTTTAAACGCCTTTCTTTGAAAATATATTTAACCTTGCTACCAGAGTGATCATATGTCCTCAAAAAAAAAGAAAGAAAGAAAAGAAAAGAAAGCTGAGCAATAACAATCTCGCAGCTTTGGATATTGCAATTTTGTTTACGCTTAGAAAAAATGATGATGGGGGAAAAGAACTGTCCCCTGCCCTCTTCCAAAGATGACAGCATTACTGCTGAGCAAAACAGATGCAGTTAGTTCAATCCTCATTCAAGGAATTGCCTGTCATTTGGTAGGTCTCCACCCCCATCAATCATGTCCCAGCGATCAGTATGAGAGATGATAGAAAAAGGATCGACAAAGTATAGTTCCAGGCCGGGGACTTAGCTCAGTGGTGCCGCCGCCTGCCTCGCAAACTCAAGAACCTGAGTTCAATCCGCAGGACCAAAAAAACTAAAAACAAAGTGTACTTCCATGGTTAGCAGAGTCAATATAGCCACACTAAGTAGCAATGGACCGGCATTATATGCAAATATATTTGTACTTCCTTATCGTGATTTATTGAAGAGAATTATTGGTAAAGTCATAAAGAGAACCAAGAAGGAGGACACCGTCACTGGAGTAGTGAGAAAGCCCTGGACCCGGGTTGCAGGCTCCCAAGCCAGTTCCACCAGCAGCTGGCTTGCGACCTTGAGCCAAGAATGGAAATACTCCAAGCTTCCTTTTCATCGTCTGTAGTACACAAGGCGGACTGTACCAGGGACTCTTCACAGTCCCTTCCAGGTTCTGAGACTCCGCAGCTCTTCTGTGAGAAGCGCTCATCTCCGGCCCTGTAGCTTTCAATCTCAGTCCCCGCGTGGAGACTCACAGAGGAGGATTCATGGCCATGTAGAACAGTCGGGGACAGCATCAAGGACACAGAACTGGGCCTTGGGGAATCCTGAGCTCCGGAAAGAAGAGGAGAGGAGAGGGAGAAGAAGGAGGCAGGAGTGGGGAAGGAAGGAGTATTCCACATGGCTTAACTTTGTCTCACTCCCTTCCCGGGGATAGTCCCTAGAGCTGCCGGCCAAATATGCTTTTGGTTAAGAGGGCCGTGTGATTGGTTATAACATGTCACTTTCCGGCAGCGCATCCCAGCCCCTGTAAAGCCCTCCGGAGCTCTCTCCTACCCTCCAGCAGAGCCACTAGTCATTTTCGAAATGAGGGCCGCTCCTCAGCCCGGCCCTCAGCAGCTGTCTTCAGCCAAGCACCCGGAAGTTTCTTCTAGCATCAGACTCCACTGGGAAATAAAGGATCTTCAGCCACCCTGAGGTGCTCTCTGGCTTGTTCATTGCCACAGTGTAACCTAGTTCCTGAACACTCCCAGAGGCAGAGCTGAAGCTAATGAGCAAAGGCGCCTCCACCTTCGCTCCATCCTCAAAGCCTGCAGAGCTAATGCAAAGTGGTCACAGGCGAGGGCTGTGCACGCCTCCCCCAGCCTCCTCCTTCCACCCTTCCCGGGCCACTCCTCAGCTGCTTATCCCTTTCCGTTGTATAACTGGGATTGTGCTAAAAGCACAAAGAGCTTACAGAAAAGGATGGAATGAGGCCATAGGCAAACTGGGAAAATATTCTTCTCTCTGTTGGCCCAATTGTGCAGCAAATCAAATCAGGGGCACGATGTTACCTTTCTTTAGTGATGAGGCTGAAAAGCCCCAGAAGGATACACAAATATATTGCAGAAAGAGTTGTAAATAAAGGAGACTTACACTCTGTGTTTCCTTGAGGTTAACTCTCGTCTTTGGTCTAAAATAAGCTTTGTTTTTTCTCCGAGATTCAAATACTCCTCTTTTGAAGATCATCACTGCCATCTGCCTCAAAAAGAAGAATCATATGTGAAGCACTTAATCAACTTCAGGGAGCAATACGTTTCTTTCAACTCATGTAATTTTTATACCTTTATCGTGGCCTCTCTGTAATGTCTTCTGGATTCATCCTGCGATTGTGAGGAACTCATTAATTCCATTTGCCTTAACTCATCAATTTTGGCTAAAGCACGCCGAGCAAATGCCTGTGCGCATTTAAAACAAATTTGATTCATAGTAAGTTAGAACCCAGTGATTAAAATTGCATAAAGACAGTGTGTTTGGTTGTCCCACGCATTTCATTTAATGGTGCATTACACTGAAGGCTGATTGGCTGAATCTAACACAGTCACTACCCAGGCTATCATTTCCTCACCTAAACACCACTAAACTCTACAGATCTAAAGTTAATAAACTGTAAGGCATGCTAATGTTGTGAGTTATGAAATCTAGTCTTCACTCCACTTGCCAAGCTGCACCCTGGGCCAGGGATGTATTGGCCCAGAGGAAGGAGAGCTGGTTTTTAATTTCCACCAATGCCCTGTCTTGACAAAGCCAAGTACCATGTACTGTAGAGAGAGTACTTTTACTTTTTAATTTTTGTTTGTTTGCTTTCTTCAGTGCTGGGGGACGGAGCCCATGGCCTGGAGCTACCACTGAGCTTCACCCTTGTTAATACACAGAGGTGCCACACAAGCCAAGAGGTGCTCATACCAAGTTAAGTCATATTTCAAGTATCTAACCTAAAAGGCATGCAGAGAAAGAGGAAAACAGGAAACATAATATAAGAATTGGAGGTTGGAAGCAGAGAAAAGAGAGATAAATGCAAAATAGATGGTACATAAGTACAAAATAAAACAGGGAAGTAAGGGAGCCTAGAAAAAAACAGAGAAGGAAAGATATCCAAAATCATATTCAGAAGAGAAGCTAAGAAGGGCAGAAATTGACAGGGAATAAAGGAAAGAGCTGAAGTAGAGCAAGAAATCAACAGAAGGGAAAAGCCAATAAATTTCTTCTAATAAAGAATTCTTGTCTTTGTCTCATTTTAATTCTTGGATTGCTTTCTCATTGTTCTGTTTTGTTCTTTGATCCTTGAGGGCGGGTAAAGAAGAAAATGGTGAGGAAGCTGCGCCCCAAACACTGGACTCATGAGGATTCCAAAGCCGCATACCTCCCCGTGGAGCCCGGCTTGGCAGTCGTGGTAGCACTGGCACACAGCGGTGTAGAGGGTGGCTCTCCAGGTCAGGTACCTGACAGCCAGGAGGGGGACGGAGGACTCCATGCACACACTGGCCCACAGCAGGAATTCCAAGGCCTGAGGAGCAGAGGGCTCGACTGAGCTGATGCCCATTCACTGTAAGCTAATAACGGTGACCCTGAACCCAACATCGCTGCCTATGTACACCCAAAATACCATGAGCAAGCACTGCAAAATAATAATTCAGGGAATTCAATTTAGCCTTTTTAGAGCATCTTCTTAGCTTTTAAAGTCACTCTGTACCTGAATATTTTTATTAATACTCACCAAGTATCAGTGATGGTCCAAAATCAAACTCCAGTGATGTGACTGTTATGAGTTGGTCTGGAACCAATGTGTTATCAGGGTACAGAAGGGCAGGGAAAATGGAAAAGGTTGACCACCAAGGGCCTGTAATACATAGTAGAACAAAGACTGGAATCAAACCTAGATTTGTGTCTCGGTTTCACCTCTCTAGGCCTCAGTTTTCTCATCTGTAACATGGGTATTTTACCACCTCGTGAGTGCGGTGCGCACGACTGGTGTTTGGCGCCCTGCGAACACACTGCCAGGGGTGCATGTCGCCAAGCTACAACCTGAAACAAAGTGGTGTGAGAAGGGTCACGATGCCACCACGCCACCCACGGGAACGCACCTAACACCCCTTGCACTCTACTAGCCGAATGGCTTTCCCCACAGATCCACTGGGAATTCTTTTGCGACTTATTCCTCCCACAAGCCCTAGACAGGGAAACACTGATGACATGGATTCTGCAGCTGGCCTTTCCAGTCTTTTTGCTCCTTTGGTACCGGGGCTCGAACTCGGATCCTTACACTTGTGAGGCAGGTGGTAGCACCACTGAGCTAAATCCCCAGCCCTGCCTTGGTTCAGTCTTTATCCTTTCTTTGAAATTATTCCCAGAGCTCAACAGTTCATTGGACGATATTGCTTTTCACTTGGCTTAATATAAGAAAGAGGAAATTACGGTGATAAGAAATGTTACTAGGGGTCAAATACTTCAGAATCTGCAGTCCTAGCGTCTGTGCACAGATCCGCCAGCAGGGGCTCAGTGCTCCCTGGACTAGCAGGAGACCGCTCACTTGTCCCTGTGTCTTTGCTCTCACCGCCGCCTTTCTGCTACGCCTGGTGACACACTTCTCATCCCCAGCAGAGTTACCCTTCAAATGTCAATCGGGTTGTGACACCCTTGCGTTCAAAACACTTCCATGGCTCCTTGTCAAAGCCTATGCCCTTCACCCCACTGCCTCAGTCCTTTGTTTGCAACACAGGGTTAAAAGTAACTGTCGTTAAGGGTTGTGTGAAGAGTGAATAGTCAGTGCTTCGATGTTAGCTTCAGTGATGACAGTGGAGAAAAAGGAGGAAAGCCAGGAGGAGGCAGAGGAACAGGAAAAGGGAAACGCAGGAAGAGGCCTAGGATGAGAATTAGCTGCCACTGAAGGCTTTTCTAATGTCCTTAGGGGGAAATGATCACTGCCTCATTTCCATCTCTGCCATGACTGTGTTACTTACATACATGCCGTTAATTTATGTGCATGTTGTAATCTTATTTATTTTTATTTCTTTATACTACAGTGGTACCTCTGGTCTGCAGCCAGAATTGTGGGAAAAAATGACGTTTGTGTACCACTATTTTTTTATTTTTTTATTTACATACATTTCTTATTTTACTTTCTCATTCATATATTTATATTTAAATTCTCAACCTATTTATATAGGCTTAGTATCCCTTATCCAAAATACTTGAGACCAGAATTGTTCGGATTTCAGGGTGTTTTCTTTCTGCATTTTGGAATGTTTCATCATAATACGAGATATCTTGGCGATGGGGCCCAAGACTAAACGCAGTATTTATTGATGTTTTATAAACACCTTATACACAGTCTGAAGGTAATTTCATACAGTATCTTTGGTGCACCAACACTTTTGGTTCTGAGGCAGAATTGTAAAAATAAAAATAGGTGGAAAGAAGACAAGGAGTATCTCAATTTTAAAATAGTACTTTAAGCAAAATTGCAGCTTCAAGACAGAAGCCCACCAACATCTCTAAGGTCCTCAAAGGTGTACACTACAGGCTTGGGCCCCTGCTTTTCCCCTATAAATGAAACTTTTCACCATCATTAGGACAGCCCTTTTCTCCAATCAAAAGGCCTTCTGGCTGGCCCTCTCTCACCTGGAATGGTTATCATTTATGAATAGCCATCACCCCTCTGCTATAGAAAGGGCCATGTCTTTCTTCTACAAATGACATCCCCTCTTTCTTTAGATTTACAAGTTCCACAGAATTCTACCCCAAAATCCCCACAAATGTACCCAGCTCACTGGTACAGAATACCTCTCTCCCTCTCATATTCTATTTTCTCAGAGTGCGTACTTTAAAATCCTGCCTAATAAACATCTTTGCGTGCCTCTTGTGAACAGGTCTGGAAAATTCTTTCTCTGTGATGCAAGTCAGCAGACCTGAAGCCTGCTCCGTGGGTGGGGTGTGTCAAAGGTCCCTATCTCTGCTTTGGGGACCCTCCTCAGACCCCATCCGGTGACATTTTGATCTGGAACATGAGGTCAGATGTAGAATTTTCCACTAGTGGTATTTTCCACTAGCAACATTATGTTGGTAGTCAAAAAGTTTTACAGTTTGGAGCATTTTGGATTTTCAGACTAGGGTTGTTCAACCTCTATCACATGTCACATGTTTTTAAGATTCATGTCACATGAGCTTCTTCCTGTGTGTGATTCTAAACCTAGACTGTGTTCTCTGAAAACAAGAACAATGTCTTAATTGCGCTTGTATCACCAGCAGCAGTCCGGCTCTACAACACAGCAAGTGAGCAGATATTCTCAGGCATTATTAAGTGAACCGAATAGAAAACCCTCCAGTCAACAGAACCAGGCACAGATCAGGTAACACAGATCCTAGACTCTCAAATCATGGCGATAAATTTGGGGGAAAGCCCCCCTTCCCACAACAATCTAGGCTTCAGCAATGGAAGAAATGAGGTTTTTTTTAATATGTCTATAAAGGGTCAATGATTCACCTTGAAAAGGCAAATCATCAAGAAGGCCCAGCAGCTTCATCTACACAGCGCAAACCCACCAGGCTGACATGGTGTTTAGTAGTAAAACTAAGGAAGACATTGATTCCACTCAGACCCCATTACCATCTTCGGAGCCTTCAGAGACAGAGCTTGTAATGTATATGTGGAAATCTAAAAGGAAGGAGGAGGCTAAAAAGGCAGAACTTCCCAGTCTGGCCAGCTTTCACTCCAGAGGGAAAGAAATTCTTGGCTAGATCGAGGTTCAAAAACAGATTGTGATATCCTTTGTTATCCCCTGAATCTAAGCTCCCCCCACCAGACTGTGAATTTACTTGGAAAGGGACCTTGTCTGTCTTGTTCCTCTTGTATCCCGGCATCTAGAATTTTACCCAGAAATGGGGGATATGCAAGAAATACTTGTCCACTAACCAACTGACCCACATTAAAAGTTTCGGCTTGTGATGCTAACTCTGGAAATATTTTGAGCCATCATAGAATCAAAGGTCTGAAAGTCACTCTAAAATTCTCACTGCCATCATCACTGGCACCATTACTGGATACCCGCAGTCTCCCTCACCCTGTGCCGCAAGAATGCCTACTTGCAGCAGTAAGGCACACCCCATGGGGCAGCAGAAGACAATTTCCAACTTGTAAAAGACTTCCAGGATCTAGAACTGAATCCACCTCGGTGCGCCGTCCTCACACAGGTCCTAGGTATGTATGCCTCTGGACAGCACAAAGCCGCCCTCCCAGCCAGCCCTGGCCTCCAGCTGTCTTTCCAGGATACATCTCCTGGGTGCGTCTGGACTTGACAGGAACATATTCCCCTTCTCTGGCACCCTCCGGAGCTTTGCTTGGGTAGTCAGTGCCCCTTTGAGCGTGAGATGTTCCATCTCAGGCCCTGGATTCCACATCTCTGCTGAGTCGGCCCGAGGCTGCCATATTCCTGCTTTGGCTATTGCTGCTGACATGGTCGCTGTCCACTAACCTGGCCACAGTGGAAAGAGACGCAAAACTCACAGTCATCAAAACCCTTTGAGTCTCTGTCACACACATCCACTGCTTCCCGACAACCCCTATTTTGGATTTCTGCATTTGGATCGTTGTGGTTTGCGGGATTTCCAAAATTCCTCAGGACTGGTGGTATTAGAGATTTCACAATTCAAAATTAAAAAAAAAAAAAAAAAGCTTCACTTAACAGTTGTTCCCAACATATTTGGGTTTGGCATTAAAGAAAATCACAGATTTGCATGCCAGAAGGGATTTTACGATTAACCTAATCTGATTCTAAGAGGCTAAACTGCTTCTAAGCAATAGACCCAGGGCTGGAATTCAGCTCTTGGTCTCCCCGGTGCAGATTCTTTCCACTGCACACAGAGAGCAGCCTCGACAGAGCGGAGAAGCTCACCACAAACACGCAGGGGCCTGGAAAACCATCTTTCAGCATAGAAGATGCAAAGCCATAGAACAGATGACTTGAAGTGTAGCATTTTTCCTTATCTCTACAAGGCGGTGATGATTATGTCTGTTAATAGGAAAACGATGGGACATAGCAGGCCTATTTATTTTTTTAAAATTTGTGTTGAGATGTAGCTCAGGGATAGAGTGCTGGGAAGAATGGAGGAAAGGCGGGAAAGAGAAATGGGAGGGAAGAAGAAAGGAAGGAAGGAGGGAGGGAGGGAGAGAGGGAGGAGGGAAAGGGGAAGGGGGGAGTGGGAAGGATTATTTGAAAACCACATTCTATCTACATTCAAAATATGGGTCCAGCAAGACCGTGCTTCAGGTGTCGTTAGGAAAAATAATTCATCAACTCCGCCACAGGGTGGCACTGCAGCTCCACATATATCTGCCTACAGTATTTGAGGAAAATGACACAACCAATTTAAAAGTTGATTTAAAGTTTCTGGAAGGGTATGTGGAACCACTAATTGCTTGAGCCAAATATTTTACCAAGCTACTTCACTTTTATAGCAAAGTGAAACAGAAATCAATAGTTTTTGTCTTTGTTTTAAGAATAAATGGATTCCACTGTGTCCCTCAATGTCTGCTAAGTCTTATACTATGGTTTTAGATGCCACAGGAGAGACTAGGTTATTCCATACACAAAGGCAAAGTTGCTGTGTGTATTTGTGGGAAGAAGTTTCAGATATCAGACCTCCATGTGTTCCTTAAATTTAAGCCAGGGTTCTGCCACACTCCATTCAGGGAGAAGCCCCTGCTTAGTCCGGGTCTTCCAGATCTCTTTGGGAATACAGGGTGGTAACAGAAAAAGGCCAACCCCTCCCACACAGCCCACCACAAGGACAATGGTCATGCTAGGAGACAATGTAGTGAACAGATGTGTCACTCCAATGGGGCTGCACAGAGTCACACAGGCTCTGGCCTCAGTGCACCTCTAACCTCAGGTGCGACCTTGAAGGGATGTTGTTGACTCAGCTTTAGCATCACCACCTGTAAGAAGGGAGTAACAACAGTGCCTTTCTCAAAAACAATGGGAGGATTAAATGGACGGCTTCACAAAAGGGCCTAGCACTATACTTGATAGATGGTAGACATCCATTCAATGTCACCGATGACGCTAACAACGGTGAAAATAGTTCCCACCTCATAAAACCGTGTCACCATTGTGTATGGAAAGCCCTTCACGGAACAGGGATTCAGTAATAAGGACGAAGGGTACCCGTGAGGCCTGCATCCTATACAAAATGAGTGTTTACATATCTCGCAGCTATAAACATGGGTGTGCATGTTTCACTGTGGTATGATGTTTTTAATTCTTTCCCCACCCAGGGGAATCACAGGGTCAGATGGAACTTCCAGCTTTAGCTTCGTAAGGACTCTCCATACCGATTTCCACAGTGGTTGCACCAGTCTACACTCCCACCAACAGTGGAGCAGGGTTCTTTTTTCCCCCTACAGCTTTGCCAACCTTTGTCATTGGTTGATTTCTCGATGGCAGCCATTCTTTCTGGAATGAGACTGTTTTAATTTGCATCTCTCAAAAAATTGGTGATGGTGAACATTTTTTCCTATATTTATTTGTCATTTCTACTTCATCTGAGAAGCGTCTGTTCATTTCAGATGCACATTTTGCCTTGGGTCTTTAAATTCAGAGGGTCTGACTTTTTTGAGTTCTTTATATATTCTAGATAGTAGTCTTTTGTCTTTGGAACAGCTGGAAAAAATGTTTTCCCACTCTGAATGTTGTCTCTTCACTCGGTGGTTTCTTTTGCTGTGCAAAAGTTTTTTATAAGATGAGATCCCAGTTGTTGATACTTTGTAATATTTCCTATGCAATTAGGTTCTGATAATAAAGTCTTTACCCACATCTGTGTCTTTGAGAGTTCTACCTATTCAGTCTTCCAGCAGATTTAGTGTTTCTATTTTAATATTCAGATCGCAAATGCCCATCAATGAATGAATGCATAAAGATTTATTTGTATACAATGGAGTACTACTCTCCTGTGAAGGATAGACTTGAGACATTTCTAAGTAAATGGATGCATCCTGAGACCATACTCTTAAATGAAATAAATCAGACACATGTGTTTAAATGTCTCATTGTTTCTCTACGTGAGAAACAGAAAGGACAAATAAAGACCAAACTATATGATAGATATTGAGAAATAGGAAGAAAATGTTCAAATGGGAAGGGGAACAAAGGAGAGAAAAGAAGGAAAGGAGGGAAGAGAAAAAAGAATAGAAGGAAAAGTGGAAAACAGAGCGTTTGTAAATAAGAAGGGGAAGAAGAGCAGAAGAGAGGGGAGGGGGAAAAAAGAAGAATCAAGATATACCACATACAGGTACAGATTCCCTACGATGAACGTGATCATTATGTCTAACTAAAGTGCAACAATAAAATCAATTTTTAAAAATCAATTTTAAAGAAGTAAATGGCAGTTTGCAGGAGATATCACCCCTGTCCCGAGTGTCATTAATTTGCAGTGAGCAGAGCAGCAAAGTACACAGAAAAAAATGAGTGGAAGTAAATGAGTTGAAATTTGGATAGACCTTTCTGAGTTTAACTTATGGGAGATGAAGTTTCCATGTGCCAATAAGGACTAATTTCAACATTCCTCTAAGTTCCACAGAAAGTAATGAAATTTCCATCTGAAAACAAGTTTTTTCTTAATCTTTGATCCACTCTTCTGTGAAGCTTACTATGCACTGATGACTTACTAATTTGTAACCATATAACTGTCTCATAAAAATTAAGTAAAATCATGCTTGAATGAATTTCCAGTTAGATGATTTGATTTTCTAAATGTAAATTCAATGTACAATATTCATATACTAAAAATGTAAGCTAATCAAGAATGCTGCCTATGACAGAACAAAAACACGGGTGTTTAAATTACTCTGGAATGACCCAAAGAACAACCCCAGGATCCCAGGTCTGGTTCTCCTTTTGTCTTATGCCTCATCAGACAAGAACTCTAAAGTTACTACAGAATTGGGGTCCCAGGTCCATTTGTAGCTTCATCTCAGGAATCAATGTACCAGCTGGGAGCTGGGGAATTCCTAGATGAAAATTAATTCCCTTCCTCTATTGACCAAACTGAAAGAGCTTCATTCTGATCCTCAAGTGCCCAATGCAAAACCACTCACCACCCGACAGCTCTCCCCTCCCTCCCCGCACTCCCTTCCCACAAAGCTGGCACCATATGACCGGCCTCCTCTACCACTTACTTTCCAGAGACAAACTCAAGTTACGTGAGGGGGAGAGGAACTGTCTTACAGGGGTTACTTGCAAGAAATGACTTTAAGATGACTGTCACATTGAATTACAATCCGCTCGATGTTAACAAGAATGAACACCAAGAGTTTGATGTTGGCACAGACGCCTCTGCCTTTGGAAGCTTTGGCAGGCAGACACCATGGCAGACCAGCTACATGGCTCTGCGAGGTGGTACAAGGGGAGCAACAGAAGCACACAAATTCTTGTTAGGAAGCCAACCGGAACGAACCGTAGAATCCTTGGGATCATCCGTATGCCAAATTTATATTATACCTGGGGCCGTCTCCCCTCAGTTTCATGTACACTCAAACTGCTGTCCGGAGTTTCTTCAGCCACTGTCAGTAATAAAGGTTCGGTTTGATTTTGTTTTAATTTGAGAAAGAAGATTTGCAGTGTTACCCAGTGAGGATGTGTTTATTTTTTAGGTGTTGTTAAAGTGTGTTTTGAGGAAAGAAGTTCCTCTCTTGAGCGTCAGACTACTCAGGGTGAGCGCTCACATGCAATAAAGCTGAATTAAAGTAGTGGTGTTTCAGCTGCCAACAACTCCAGCAGGGTCTCGGTGGAAGTATATTTACCCTTCTTGGCCTACATTACAATGAATGGAAAATAAATGCAGAAAATAAATATGTCTCCTGCTGACAAATGTGCCACCAGCATTGTAAGAAAGTCAGAAGATGTGTCAACAGCCTCCTCAAGCAAAACTAAGCAGTGAGCTCTGGTAAGTGAGAGTCATGTTATAAAACAGAACTCCCTGCCCTCACCTTGTGAATGAGTTAGAGTTTGGGTGTTCACTCACCCAGGTAGCATGTAGGCCAAAAGTAATCTCCAAGAACTGCACAACATATATACAGGGTGATCACAGTTTATCAATCTAACCTGGACACTTTTGAAAGTAAAAGAGAGTGCTATTAATAACTACTCCAGCTAACAGGGGTAGTAGCACACACCTGTAATCCCAGCACTCAGAAGGCTGAGGCAGGAGGATCGCCATAAGAGGGAGGCCAGCCAGGGTTATATAGAGAGTTCAAGGTCAGTCCCTGTCTCAAAACGGCAAAAATTACTAGAGGACAAGAAGCATCGGCAAGACTGTCCCGTGTGTGCTGGGATGGACGGTTCCCTTACCTAGAGATAGAGGAACCCCAGAAGGGTGTTTATCATCAAGTGTGACAAGTATGACCGGTGGCCAGATGGAGGGACACTGGGGAGTACTTATCATTTGGGGAAATTCATTTACTTTTTATTAATACTTTATTGTCCACCACATTTTCACATATGATTATGATGAGAGTAAAACTAATACCACTAAAATTATGTAATATGCATAGTCTCGAACCTTTTATAACAAATTCACCAAATAGTATTTAATGTATGGTATAATAAAAACCATAAGAAACAACAGGAAAGCCGGGGATTTAGCTCAGTGGCACCGCACCTACCTCGCAAGCACAACGTCCTGAGTTCGATCTCTGGTATGCACGTGCACACACACACACACACACACACACACACACACACGGAAATAAGGAGGGGAAAACTTGGTCAGTACATTTCATACCTTGGAAGAATAACCTATGATCATCAGTTTTCTGCAAATGGTGTAAATGTAAATGGTACCTGGGGGGAGAAAAAGGTGGTTAACATGTGTCACACTCAAACGATGGCAACTATAGCCCCAACCTCTGAAGTTCAAGTCTGTGGTTCTGTGATTAAGTTCTGTGGATTCAGGAGAAAATCTCATAAGAGTAGAGAGTCATCATTACAATTTTTCTTGTGGAATTTTATCTTGTAGAAAAAAATCATTAAAATAACAAATATAGCCATATTTCAAATACGTTGAAAAAAAATCATCTTAAAGGCAATTCAAGTTATGAAATATACTGAACAAAAGAATTTTTACTGGCATAATTTATGTACTCTGGTTTTACTAATGCATATAAAATGTAATTACTTCCCATGGCTCCATTATGGCTGAGAAACTAAAGATTTATCTCCGAATAAGATTAGAAAACATATTTGATCAGCATGACATAATACTGAAGCTCATGATAATTTTAAAGTCATAATGTCTAGCAGCTTATGCTATATTCATTTGTAGTCTCACATAACATTGATCCCCTTATTTATATGTCCTCTAAGCAGTCTAATGAAAAGTGGCATTTTATTACTATGCGATTTAATGTTGGGACATTAATGAAATGAGGAGAGAAGGCTGGTGGCACAGTTACAGGGAGGAGGGGAGAACGTCACCCTCCACCAGCGGCTGAACACAAGGATGGTTCCCGTGTTGTAAACGCGCCCAGAGGAAGATGGCACAAGGTGGGGTGGGTAGGGGAAGGGTAATAAGGGAAAAGAAAAAAGTGTGAGATAATGCAAAGATGGAAATAAAGTGTTTGCAGATGGGGAGGGGAGCAGGGGGTAAAGGGAGGGCAGGGACAAGGGGAAAAAATGAGAACCCAGACTACCTGTCATGTAGAGGTACAAGATCCCAACAATGAATGTAACTGTACTATATCCCTAAAATGTACCAATAAACTCAATTAAAGCTGAAAAAAAAAACATTGGGAAAATTTAGTTTATCAAAACATAATCATTGATTTGTAAAGATAAAAATAAAGAAGTCCATAATCACACAAAAAAAGGGCATGTGACTGTGGTGACAACTGGTCTAAATATTGTCTGCAAAATATCCAGTCTAAAATTCATAACCATCAAAATTCAACAATCAGGAAGCCTACGTTCATGTTTAAACTTTAAAAGCTTCGAAGAAAGCAGCATCTGCTCCCAAACATACCCCTGATTAAAACACACCTGAAAGCATAATAAGCGCTTGTTACACCAAATCAGTGACAAAAACACTGAATAAAACCCAAGATTCTGATGGCCCCTCGAGCGTCACAGAGAAGGCAGCTGGTCCTTCATGCTGAGGACTTGGCCCTCTGGGGTGACGGTGCTCAGGCCTTGGAGTCGCTCATTTCATCCAACACCCACTGGGGAAGAAACCACTCTAGCCACCCTGCTCTTAGCAGCTCAAGCCCAGAATACATATTATCTCCACTTAGCTTTGTTAGCCTTTACTTTTAACATTTAAAAATAAAACTCCATGACTGTGTTTCTTTGTAGGAAAAAAAAAAGTGTCACCAAGTATGAGTGTGCACAGGAAACGCTTACTCCCCACAGGACACGTGACTCAGGTGTAAGCCAGGAGCCTGAACAAACCCGGCAGGGACGGAGAGCTGGAAGTCAGCAGAGCCTCAGGAGACAGGAGACAGGAGACAGCCCTCAAGAATGACAAGGGCCCTCTGTGTCTCAAAATGCGCCTCCAACCTTTACAGCCTGAATGTGTCCTGGCTGTAACTGAATAGTTCTTTGACAGTTCAGGAACTTGGCCTGGCTCACAAACTCCCCCCGCAGAAGCCAGACTGCAGAGTAAATGGTATAGCGTGGAACGTGGACTGAAACTTGATGGTCTCAGCGTATTTCTGGAAGTTGGTTTTGTTTCACTTTGGTCCAACATGAGTTCACACCTAATCATGTGACTGCTTTTCAACAAAGATGGCCACCATCAAAAAAGCTGAGAGTCTAAATGAATTGGGTTCTGGTCAACTGAGAAGGATGATGCTATCCAAGGATAATCCACCTACTTAGCTTTCATAAAGAATCAAGATTGGTTAAATATCTCAGGAAACCAAGCATATATATGTATAATAGTTAATTAAAAGAAAATAAAAAGCCAGGTATGGTGGTGTACACCTGTGATCCAGCACTCTGAAAAGCTCAGGCAGAAGGATCACATGTTCGAGTCCAGCCTGGACAACTTAGCAACTTAATAAGACTCTGTCTCAAAATAAATATTAAAATTAAAAATTTAAAGGGGCTGAGAATATAACTCAGAGTGAAGGCCCTCGGTTCAATCCCCAGTCACACACACACACACACACACACAGAGTTGTCTGAATGAAAGGTCAAATGTATTTTGATAAATACATTTGACCTTTCACTCAGATATATTTTGGACTACTTCAATACCAACTTACCACAACTTCAGGGTCGGTGCACTTGTTAATCCCCTTGTTGGAACAGCCTTTCCCCAAAGATCCGGGTGGTTCACTCCCCAGGTTCCTTCCCGTCTTTGCTCAGCTGTCCTTTCAGTGAGGCTCCCTGACCATTCCAGCTAAAGTTGCAGGCCACCCCCAGCCCAGCCCCTTCTCTCTCTCCTCCTCACCTTTATTCTTTTCCACCAATTCTGACTGTGAAACATCATCTCCCTGCAGTCAAGGTAAGCAGGAGAACAGTTTGTACCATGCCTGTGTCCCCAGCTCCCAGGACAATGCCTGGTTCGTGAGATGATTTAATAAACCGTAGACGAATACACTGATGCAAGGACAGTAGTTGGTGAAACAAAGTCCAGTATGTGTATCTCCCATAACCCTGGACATTGCTCCCAGAAAAGTCTCACACCATCTATAAAAAGACATGCACAGAGGCATCTGGTGCAGAATCATGAGAGGTAGGGCAGACCTAATGTCCATCCCAAACACATCAGTAGGCAGAGTTAACAAACCAGGTGTCCATCCGGGAAGCCCACTAGCTTTGTCTGTTGCATCTCTGTCTGAACTTAAAAGCACGCAAGGTGGAATCCCGCCTCACCTTTGCACTCCCTAAGCAAGGCCCAGCTACATCCCAGCCCTGTTCCTGCTCTGCTGTTCCCACCAAGAGGCACAGGAGAGGAGAGTGGTGACTAATGGAACTGAGGGTCCACTTGAGACAATCAGCCACAAAGGCTTAACCATCCCTGAGCTGAAAAAGCTTATCCAAGTCCGCTGCATTCCAGGCAGCCAATGTGAAGTCAAATTTCAACCAAAATATAATATGGGATGAATGGAGAAAGAAAAGGCTGATAAATATACATACACACATATATGAGACGAAGGGAAATCCAATATATTTTTCTTGGAGTTATTGAGTTACTTTGTCCTGGTCTTAACACACATCAAAACACTGTCACTTTTAATTTTTGTTTAAAACTATACTACCCAATGGGCCAAGGGTGTAGCTCATTGGTAGAGCACTTGCTTAGCATGTGCAAGGCCCTGGGTTCAATTTCCAGCACCAGCTCCACAAAAAAGAGAGAAGAAAAAAGAAGGGAAGGGGAGGGGAGGAGAGGGGAGAGATTATCCCTTCCAAACACCATCAAATATATGCGTATTGTATATACCCACATATATGTATACAGTATATACACATAAAACATACCTATATGATATATATGCATTTAATGCATACATATACGTATATATTTTCCAGAGAACAATATAGTAACTGAGTGTAACCCCAGAATAGAGAAAAACAATGTTACATTTTCTAGCTCAGATTCACTTCTTCACAGACACATTTAAGGTACATGCATGTAGCTATAGATACATGCATGTGCGTGTGTATTCTCAGAGCTCCTCATTCAATATCAAGTAGGGGGAAGATGTTGCTGAGCACAAGGGGAAAAGCATGTGCCAAGGCCTTGCAGGAGAAGACAAACAAAGGGATGGTGCTCAGGACCAGTCTGACCCGCAGCGTCCCTGGACCCTTGTCACTTGTCCCTTACCCTTCCCCGCTTATTAACCCAAACCGATCAATCCCCACAGCCTCCGACCCTTCCTTCAGGGGGAAGCCTAGAAAGACCCTGCTTGGCGGACGAATTAAAATGTAAATCACATGTTAAATTTAAAAAAGACACTCTATCATGAATTGCATACATTTTCTAAATCACAAGGTAATCGAGTTTCCCTCACATGGGCATTTACATAACTTTCGAGTGCCGCGTGGAAAGTGCAGCGTGGAAAGTGCAGCGTGTTGGTGCTTACCGTTGAAGACAATCCAGCAAAGACGCTCCTGGGGCAGAGCCGCCTGCATGATGAGCCTTAAGGAGGACAAGATCTGCAGACACTGGCTCACCGAGTCCTTGTTCTGCAGGTTCACATCGCTGTCACAGACCAGCTGGTAGTTGCAAATATTTTTGCCAGACAAAGCATGAAACTGAAACACATGGGAAAACAGAAATAAGGCTTATGCAACTCAGGAAAGCATTTCTCAAAAATGTAGAAAGTTAAAATAGAAACAATGGTGCAAAATTAGTGTAATAGAGTGACACAGAAAGAAACAAGCTCGGTTTCTTCAAAACATCCACTTAGTCAGGTTTGGCTTTTCCTAATCAAAAGAAACTCAAATGGGGATTTAGCTCAGTGGTTCCACCGCCTGCCTCACAAGTGCAAGGACCGGAGTTCAATCCCGGTACCAAGAAAAACAAAAAGTCCTATTAGCAAAGAGGTAAAATTGAACCAACTTTTGCAAACCCACCCAGCAGAATTTTAACCTCTTTGTTGATTTAGATGTGACTATTACCATTACTCAATTCATCCAGTAAATGTTGATCAGGAGTCTCTGTTTGTCACACTCTTCTAGGTGAGAAGCTTTCCAAGACAAGGAAGAAATGAGCCCTGCTCTCAGCAGAGGAAGAGTTCCTGGCACACACAGCATCAGGGGTGCTTACGGAGGCTGCTGTGGTCAGCTGAGTGTCTTCTGTGAGTCTGGATAAAAAGCTGTTAACTCAAGAGATGAGACTGCAGAGTCAGCCCAGGGGCAGACCATGGAGAATGTTCCCTGTCACTCTGAGGAATTTGATCTTTAGCCAAAAGGCAAAGGCAAAATCAGTGGTGATTTATCCTTAAGAGATTGAATCTGACAAAGTGTGGCGAATGCATTGGGGACTGTGGGGTGAAAGTGCCACACCAGGAGGCTGGAAGAGACTTTTCTGTGCTCTTCCCAATGGGATGCCAACCTGTACTGCCCAGGATTCTCACTCCTGCTTCTGTACCTGTGTCCTGACCCAATTGAGCTGTTCAGGGGTCCCCAACCATGCCTTCAGATCTTCTGCTTGTTAGCCAACCAACACTGTTCCCAAAGCTTCAAAGAGGCATCAAGTTTGGAAAAACACAATTTTGGAATCATCTCAGAGTTCAAACACCAACCCTGCCCATTGTTTTGGGCAGGCTGGGCTGGTTTCTTAATCCCTAATAAACTTCTTTTTTCTCATGTGTTAAAAAAAAAGAGTCTAACAGTTCCAAATCTTAGGACTGTAATGAGGCCTAATTAAGGTAATCATTCTTATAATACAGTTTTTTGAGGTTAGTGGGGATCAAACCTTGGACCTCTTGCATTCTAGGCAAGTGCTCTACCACTGAGTGACAGCCTCAGCCTTATATAATGCATTAGAAGAGGAGCAAGCACACGAGTTATTGATAGCAATGAATAAGAATACTGGTTAGCAGAAATCAAACATTATTTTCCTATCAAAAGATCCCCGTGGTACTGAGGGACTGATCCATGCATGGCCTTGGCACTCTGCTATGTCCCCAGTCCTCTCCCCACCCCACCCCCTTTCTTTCCACAAGGTCTCTAAATCATAAATTGCTCAGGCTGGGCTAGAACTTGTGGCCCACCTGCCTCAGGTCGCAGAGTGCCAGCATTACAGGTGCGCACCATCACACCCAGCCAAGAGCCATTCTTCCGCACTGTGAGATAAGCTTTATTTGCCTCTGTTTGAAATACGGCAATCATAGTATCTAACTCAAACATACTTATTGAAAGAATCGATTCTATTTTCCCAAATATTTTGCAAACTCAAACTCAAAACACTCTCTAAATATTAGTTATTATAACAATAACCTCTGCTAAATGAAAGCAATTATATTGACACAATCTGGAAATTCTTGTTACAAAATTAATAAATTCACTTCCTTATCCTGCTCTGAAAGCATTTATTAAGCAACTTACAACACATGGCCAGATGCTATGATAAACCAATAAAAGGCATTTAGAGGCTGTCCACACAATGACATGTTGCATAACTAATCATGAAGCATAGTTATTTTAGCTTTTTTTTTTAGGTTTTCTCATCTTACTGTAAGTCCAGCAGTTTTATCTCCAAAGCCTTTTGGGAAAAAGACAGCTTTGAATTGATTCACATCTGCTTTATTCTCATCAAAATGGGTAGCAAACTGCTGAAGATATCTCCCATAGCACTGCAAAAGGGCCAGTTTATATTCCTAAAATAAAGAGAGAACTCAATTTAAGTTTCAAAATATCATTGTAAGATTAAGCGATATTTCTGTTACTTGTAATAGTATCAGTATTGGTCATTAATATTTCTGCTATCACTACCACCCCCATTTTCCAAGTATAAACCATGTGACAGAAACCACATTATGCAATTAATATGCATTATTTTATTTAATTCCACACTCCACAAGACCTCTGTGATAAAGGGCCATTATGATCACGAAGAACATTCACTCAGATGCTATATGTGGTAAAATCTACAAATGCTCAAAAGTCCAACATCACCAGGTAGTAGGTAGTAGTAACCGCATACTCAATAGAGAGATGAGAGCCTTGCTTCTGGGACACTCCTGGGGTCAAAACGACAGGCGGAAGGGGAGGAGAAAGGAGAGGAAATGAAGACAGGGAGTGAGCTGGCTTGCTCAGCTTTGAGAGCTACACTGGGCCAACATGCCTATGCTCCCACCGAGTAAGCTGCCTCATTTCTGTCACCCATGTTTTTATGTCTTGGGAGAAAGAGGGGTCTAAACTTGAGAATTTTGCACAAGGGATGTGAGCAGTGCTCTAAAACTGATTTTGACACAACCTTTCCTTGCCTCCCTGCACTGTACCTACTTCTCCAGGAAAAGCAAAACGACAGCTACCTAGCCCCTTAGGAGGTATCCACAGTCCAATACTTTTGTTTATATTTCTGATGACTTGTCATTTGCTCACTAATTAATTCTGAATTTTTCCCATTCTAATGGATTCACATAATAAGTTCAAATAGGTTCAAAACAAGACTCTCCCATAACATGATCTTCATTATAATTAAAATAGAAATCAAATTAAAAACTGAGTTCATTTTCGGGATTATAAATGCCTTCAGTAGCCAGTTTTGCCATCAGGGAAACATAGATAGGAGTTTTTTATTGTTGTTCCTTTAATTGAATTTTAAAATACCCTCTCTAGGCCTTTCTATCAGAAACATTATGAATCCTTAACTCCTCCTACTTATCATCATCTTGCTTTATCAACTTCCTCCTCCCACTACCAATATCCCCCCAACCTGGTTACCCCTCCAAAAACTCCCGTCGTGCTGTGCACTGCCGGCTTCGCAGATGTAGAACTGGAACAACAGAAAGGAAGTTGTCTTCCATGTATCACCCAAACTGCTATCCCACTTCACATGGAGACAGCTAGGCTAGCCCTTCAGTCTCACAGGCTAATGAATAAATCGGGGGCTTTACAGTTAAAAAGTGGGCCAGTCTTCAAGGCTATACAATTAAGATAAAACACCAGGAGACAAAAGAATGGAAAGACAGCCCTGCCTTCAGACTATGAGGTTAGCAGATACCAAGAAGCCAGAGCCAAGACGTGAGATCGTGAGATCATTAAAAACAAACCCACGGGGCAGGAAAGTGACCTTCCCTAACGCAAACCCAACTAGGAACTCTCCCAGATAATAAGGAGCCAGTGCCAGCTAATACAGTTCCCTTCGCTGTATTAGCATCATAAAAATCACACCCTAGTGGACACCCAAGAGAGTAATGAGACGTGAGTGCCATGAAGAGGCTCGCTAAGAGCACTGATACTGAGAGACCAGGTCCTTGCCTACCCTGGAGATACCATGTTCACTGCTGTCCTGTGTTTGGGTCAGCCTGAGCTTCCTGCTTCCTGCCACTCTTTCCCCCTTGCACTACAGTATAAGAATAAAAGCCTTGTTGCTGTGCCAAGGTGCTTCTGTAGATTTTTCCGACAGGCCGAGCAAAAGAAGCCACGAGTCAGTAAGAACATGAACACAGCTCACACGGTGGGTCTCACCTAGTTTTGGGTTGTTTTGTTGTTGTTGTTGTTTTCTATATTTTTCCAAACTACTTTGTCAAGTTTCTAAGAGCCATGGTCCACATACATGGGGTTGAGGTTATCTCTAATTTTGGCAGAGGAAAATAACTCTCAGTTCTTTATTATGCAAGCTCTATCTCTTCTGTTTCTTCAGTAAACTTACCTCTCAGACCAAAAGAACTCAAGTCCAGAAAATAGAAGTGGGGAGAAGCCAAGAAATTGAAGACTGAGAAACTACTGGGTAACCCCCATGTCTGGAATAAATTCTTTCAGATAAAATAACTCTTTATCCAAAAACTTCATACTTTATCAAGGACTTAGGGGCTGGGCCAGCAGATGCCTGATGGGTGACTCAAGCAGGATAATGCTGGCATCTCTGCCTACATTCTCTTTCTCCCTTATTACCTTAAAATGTGGGTCCGATCCTTGTTTGTTAATCGCTCAAGGAGTGTCTGAATTATAAGATTTTACTAGCCCTAAATTTACCTAGCCTACTTCACCTTCCTTCAGAACTGAGGCACCAAGATGAGAGTTACTAAAGTAAGTTTCAGGATTTACAGGGACAACCAATTGCCAGCTTTTTAAAACCTCCAGTTCCAGACCCTGTGTAGCCATACCCCAAAGTGGCATGTCATCGCCTTAAAATTGCACCATGGATTTCTGAATAAACCAAAGCTTTGCAGACCAATCATAATGAGGTCTCCTCCAAGCAGGAGCAATTACGCCATGACTGGAACCAAGGGAACCCCCCTAACCAAGAACCATCATCTCATAATGCGAACAGAATTTCCCCTTCAAAGGATTTTGGCTCTCCTAGAAACAGTTCTGAGGTAACAATCAGACCAGGACTTAACCAGGATCACCTAAACTACCAGCCACACAGACACCTCACTATGCAAATCCCAACGCTTGGCCATTGTTCATTTCTATAAAACCCCAAAGTTTCTGTTAGGCCCCCCAAGACAGTTCTTGCATCCCTTTATCTGCCATTCCCAGCATGGTGGTACTGATTAAACCTCCTTTCCTGCCCTTTACCATTGCTTGTCCCCTTGATTGGTGTTATGAGACAGACAATAAGTCACCCCTGTTACAATCTTCCGGGCCAGGGATTTTGCCCTAAAACTCCTGTAATGTAGAATAATTTGGATCTACACCAGAACTTAAAAGAAAAACTCATATTATCATTAACTGAAAACCAAACTATGCCAAGGTCTTATCAAACCAAGCCCACTGGTGCAGAATTCCAAGGCATAGGCACTAAGATGATAATGCAAGCTCGGTCCTGGATATAATACTGAGCAAGAAACAGAGCGTGTAAGGAATGACTGCTAGAATCACATACAGAAAACATCCAGAAGGAGCTAAAAGCCATTAAAATGGGACACAGAACTAGACAACTTTACAGCGTGGCCAGTAGACATGAGAGCTGTCCAGTGGGCATGGCCAACCATGTGAAAAACAACAGGAAGTGGTGTCTGGGCTCCTTTGTGTAAGGTGGGAACACGATGACTCAGCACTTCCTGTTGTGTGCCTACCACACCCACCGTTAACCCCGCTAAGCTTCTTCCACCCCAGCCAGCCTCCTGTCTGTCAGGAACTTCTCAGCCCTGGAGAATTTCAAATACAAAATGAAAAAGCTCTTTCTGTATTCATGGTTCTTTTCTAAGAAAAAAAATCAAAATGTAAAATAGGAATGGAACATAGCCAAATAATAATTAGTTGAATGAGTTTTATTTTGGCTCTCCGTACTCCACAGGCACTCACTTTCATGCGACAAAGGCTATCTCCAACCTTCAGGAGCTTTTCATTGTAGTAGTCAGCTGGCAGCCGGGGGGCGTATTTGGTCCAGATATTGAACAAAGTGGTGGCACTAAAAATCATAAAATGACATCCTCAAAGTCAGCAGGAACCCTCAATCAATTATCAAACAATCCTTAAAAACTTACCTTGTGCTGTTTTTCCAATATGCCTTATTGTCAATGTTTAATTATTAATAATAAATGAAATTATGGTTAAAATTATCGCTTCCTGTGTGCCAAACACTGATTGAAGCCCTCTTTACATTACATTTTTTAATATGTGTTATTTCATAGAATAGTTTTAGGTTCATAGCAAAACTGAGAGGAAAGCACAGAGATTTTCCATCCACCTCCCCAGGTACAACCTGCCCCATTATCAACATCTGCCCCCATTTGTGGTACGATTGTTACAACTGACGAACCAACACTGACATATGATTACCACCCCAAATCCATAGTTTATCTTAGGTTCCCTCTTAGTGTTATATATCCGATGGGCTTGGACACTGACAGGCATCTACCATTATTATACCATGGAGAGTAGCTTCACTGTCTTTAAAATCCTCCATGTTCCACCTGTTCACCCATCTCTTCCTCCTCACTGTCTTTTAACCACTGATTTTTATTGTACTGTTTCCATAGGTTTGTTTTTCCCAGAATGTCACACAGTAGGCAGCCTTTTCAGCTTGGCTTTTTTCACTCAGTGATATGCATTTCAGTTTCCTTTCTGTCTTCTCGCGGTTTGATGTCTCATCTCATTTTAGCACTGACTAGTGCCACACTGAAGTACCAAGGTTAGTTTTTGCACTCATCTTCTGAAGGGCATCTTGGTTCTTTGCAAGTTTTGGCAATTACAAACAAAGCAGTTATAATTATCCACGTGCTAGTATTTTATATGGACACAAGTTTCTAAATGCTTTGGGTGAATACCAAGGGACGAAATTCCTGAACCATATAGTCAGGGTTTATTTAGATTCGTAAGAAACCCCCACACCTGCTTCCACGGTGCTATACTATTTTCATTCCCTCCAGCAAAGAAGGAGCATTCCTGTTACTCCAGCTCTTTGCCGGCATTTGATGTTGTCACTGGCCTGGATTTTAGCTCTCCTAATAAATGCATGAGGTATTTTACTGTTGCATTCCCCTGGTAACATAGGTTGTAGAACATATTTTCAAGTTTATTTGCCATCTGTCTTCTTTGCTGAGGTGTCTGATAATATCTTTGGTGCATTTTTTTCAACCAGGATGGTTTTATTTTTCTAATTGTTAACAGGGTTTTTCTAAATGTATGGTAACACTCCTATATCAAATATGTCTTTTGCAAATATCTTCTCCCAGTTTATGGCATTTCTTTTTATTATTTTCATAGTGTCTTTCATAGAACAGAAAATTTTATTCTTTTTATTAATTAATTTTTTTTAACTGGTGATCAAATTCAGGATGTTGCACTTGCGAAGCAAGCTGCGGCACCGAGTTAAATCCCTGGCCTGGAAATTTTTATTTTTAAGGAAGTCTATTTTATCAGTTCTTTCCTTCATAGATTATGCTTTTGGTGTTGTCCGCAAAAAATTATCATCAAACTCAAGGTCATATACATTTTTCTCCTATATTCTTCTAGGAATGTTATAGTTTTTCATTTTACATTTAAATATGCTACCCATTTTGAGTTCATTGTTTGTGATGAGTATAAGATCTCCAGCTAGATTCTTTTTTTTTCTTTGTGAGGCTGCCCAATTTTTCCAGGACCATTTACTGCAAAGACCATCTTTTCTCTATCATGTTCCTTTTGCTCTTTTGTCAATGATCAACTATTTCTAGGCTATGTACCCTTTTTTATTGACTCATTTGTCTATTCTGTTACTAGTATCACATTGTCTTAATTACTGTAGGTTTATATAAACCCCAAGATTGGGTAGTATCAATCCTCCGATTTCTTCAATATTATGTTGTCAGCTTTGTGTCTTTTGCCTACACGCACTTGTTTTCATTTCATTTGTGCAACTACCCCAAGATAAGAAATAACCCCAAGATAGAAAATAACAATATTCCTGAAAACAAGGGCCTTGACTGTGTTATTCAATGCCCAGACAAAAGAACAGTCAATAACTACTACCTATAGGTAATCAATAAATATTTGTTGAAAGGGTGAATGAGTGGTAATGAAATAATTCTTGTTCTTATTTGATTCATTCCTCTGAAGAGCTTAAGGGCTCAATATCCAATCAATCCTCTTAGGGCTATCCTTCCTCCCAATAAGTCAAGCATAAAGCATGCAGTATTCTCAAAACAGTTTCTAATTAGAATTATCAGGGTATCAGATCACTTCTTACTTTATTCACACCTTTATTAAAATTAACTCCTTCTCTCCCAGAAATTATAAATACCTCTAGAAAAAATCCTAGTGTCCCTTTAGAGTTGTCTAATCCAATCTTACAAATTTCTAGATAATTATAACGCTATTCACTGTATACTCCCAACCCAGAGTCATAAGTTAAAGTTCTAACTCTCAGTATGACTTTACAGTTTGGAGATGGGGTCTCTAATGAAGCAATTAAGGCAAAATGAGGTCACAAGAGTAGGGTTCTGACAAGATCCCAACAATGAATGTAACTGTACTGTATCCCTAAAATGTACTGATAAACTCAATTAAAAAAAAAAAAAAGAGTAGGGTTCTGGTCTGATGGGTTTCATGCCCTTACAAGAAGAGATAACAGAAAGCTTGCTTGCTTTCTCTTTCTCCATTCTTGTAAGGACCATAAGAGAGTAAACCAGCCTTCTACAAGCCAAGAAAATAGTTCACATAAGAAACCAACACCGATAAAACCTTGATCTGGGATTTCCGACCGCAACAACTACGAGAAAATAAGTTGTTGTTATGCCTCCCAGGGTATGTTATTTTGTTACGGCAGCCTGAGCTGGCTAATACCCACAGGGATCTAAACTTGGATTAGAACTGAAGATGGATCTAATATTTATGATGTATATGTTAAAATATTAACAAAACAACTTGGACAAAACCTGTCACTTCATTTGGGTAATAAATGAGACAGACTGAGTCACTGATTGAATGGGAGACAAAACATGCCTGCTTTTATGGACTAATCAATAACACTTTGTAGTAGATATAGGTATATATGTGTGTGTGTAATATATATATATACATATATGTGCATATATATTATATACATTATTATATATTATATACTATAGTATACACACATATATGTAAATATACATATATAAATAATACATATATAATATGTAATATATATATAATATATAACAAATGAAAACACCCAGTAAATAATGTGGCAAATGTAAAACACAGAACTTCGAAAATGGAAAATGTTTTGTTGATTTTTTTAACCTTATTTACTTTGATTTGCTACTTCATGAACTGTGACTGTTTTAGAATAAATATATATTGAATTCAAGAAATGCACCTAGTCTTGCTAGAATTCTTAAATTATATACATTCTTCCAAACTTGCAGGCAAGATGATGATGACTAGGTTTGTTCCTCATAAAGGGAAATATCAGCTTCATTAAATCAGTCAAGGTTATATAATAAGAAAAAGATTTTTTTTTTTTTTTTTTTTTTTTAGCAAATTGCAAGTTCAGGTTAGGAATGGCTTACATAATGATTAAACAAAAAGTATAACACACATTATCAAATGTACCTCATTCAAGAAGACAATGTGAGTGCACTTTATATTGCTGATTGATTATAGCTGCTACTGGATATTCAGAGCTTTCTAAAATAGAAGACCACAGCTGTGTAAGTAGAATACATGACTCTTACGTGCCTATAACAAAAGCATATTTGAAAAATATATCACATTTATTTAGTGACATTGCTGGCATTTCCAAATTGATATCGGAACAATGGAAATTCCAATAGTTATAAAAACAAATTTTGATTTGAAAACCACCACCCGTCAAGTGTTATGAATGCAACTTCACCTCCTGGGCTCCTAAGTGGTCTCTGTTCTTGCTCCAATTAAACATGACAGTATTTAAAACAAAAATTACATAAGGTCGTCCCCCTTACCAAAACCTCCCAAATGGTTCCCATTACACTTGAGATAAAGCAAACTCTTAAAAGTGATCTCTAAAACTTGCCAAAGTCCTATGTTCTCCTCTAATCTCGTTTGTTATGGCTTGTATCTGGAAACCTCCCCAAAGCCTCATGTGGTCAAGAAACATTTTCGAAGGTGGCTGGATTAGGGTGTGTGTATATGTGGATTAAGGGTGTGATGCTGGGATTAAGGGGAGGCAGGCTGCTGCTGCTGCTGCTGCTGCTGCTGATTGTTCTGCTGCTTCCTGCCTGCCTTGCTGGGGACTGTTTCTCCTCTGCCACGTGCCTGGGCCACACGGCCCTGCTTTGGAACCAGCTGACTATGGACTGAAAACCTCTACAAACTGTAAGCCAAGATAAACCTTCGAAAACCTCTACAAACTGTAAGCCAAGATAAACCTTTCCTTCTTTCACTTTGGGTGTCAGGTAATTTGTCTCAGCAATGAGAAAAGTAATTAAGACATTATCTCACACTTTGTTCTTTGTGCACCACGATTCTGCTAAATGGGCTTCAGTCCATCCCTCCAAAGTACTTGGCTCTTTCCTGCCAATGATTTTCCTGCCAGGGATCTTCTTCTATGCTTGTTTCCTCTGTTTATCTGATTGACTCCCAAGCCTCCTTCTAATCTCAGCCAAATGTCACTTCCCTTACCATTCTTTTGAAAGCAGGTGGCCCCTGCATTCTCCTGAAGTCACTGCTCATGGTCATCTGCTCTGCCCACCTGGTAGAATACTGCAACCTCCAGCCCCCAACTATGTGCCTTCTTTTTCTTCCTAGAACTCAGTTTCCAGGTCACTACAAAATGTGCCTATGTGATGTTTATTTTCTCCTCTGGAATATAAACTTTCAGGAGCAGGGGTATTTTTATCTGGCTCACTGCTGCAACCTCAATGCCTCTACCTAGCACAATGCCTGGCATGTAGAGGTGCTCAGCAGCTACATTTTTCATAACATTGTTTGTTTGTGTGTTAAATTAATCATTCATTGAAAGTTAATCTCCTTTTCTAGACTATAAACTTCACGAGCACAGAGTTTTATATCTATCTCGTTGATCACTGTGTAACAAGTGACTAGTGTAATGCCTGGTCCACAGCAGCCATTCAACACACTGTTGCATAAGTAAATCCCTAAACTGTGTGAGGTATTGGGTTGTTCAAGTTCAAGCCAATCCTTAACAACTGTGACTATCTTATCGTAGTCTGTTTAAAGAACAGATACCATCCTTACAGACAGATGGGCCCAACCTACTTTCCTGTATGTGATATTCACAAAGACAGAAAAAAGGAGCAATGACCCTTGAATTCTTACAATCCCAAATATTTACTGAATGTTTACTATGTCTCAATAGCACCAGGCTAGGCCCTGGAGAAAAGCAATGTAAAAGAGATATATTATTTCAAATAATCAGGGAGCCTACATTCTAATAAAGTAGGTAGACAATGCACAAAAAATAGAAAAAATATAAAATGATAGGTGAATCTCAATTGCAAAGACTCACTAAGGAGTTGACAACTGAGCTGCAATCTGAAAGAAGAGAAGGAACCAGATATTTGAAAATCAAGAGGAAGACTATCTCAAATGAAAGGAGACGGCAAATACAAAGACTCTGAGGTGAGACACAGAACTCTTCTGTGCTAAAGGCCGGTGAGAGAGGATGAGCAGAAAAGAGAGGGATCTTTCCACTGTGGAGGACACTGGAGAGATGCTAGCTTTATTCTAAAAGCAATGGTAAGCAGTAGAAAGACTTCAGATAAGAGTAGATGGTGTTTTAATAAAGATCACCCTGATTGCTATGTGAAGGACAGATGTGGGACCGAGTGGCTTCAGGGAAGATGTGGACCGGTGTTGGTTTGCACTGGAATGCTGGTGGTAGAGCTGGGGAGATAAAGCACAAACACAAAAAGTGTTTAAATACAAATGGAAAATTGTGAAATCCCTGAGTTGGGTATGGAATGTGCTCTCCTTGGTTAATTCTTGTCCTCATCTCACTGACCATCAGCTGGATTTGCCAGAGGTAATCATTCCTTCCCGTTTCCAGTACCCCAGGCACTTCCTTGTTTCCCTACCTCCTTGGAAGCTCCTCTCTGCTGTTTCCTTTGCACCCCTACTTCTCAGTATTGAAGCTCAGTCTTTTTCTCTCCTCTTCATCTACTCACTCCCTTAACTCCTCCATCAGGTGTCAGGATGTAAATGTCATTAATAGTCTGATTAATTCCAAACATGTATCTTTTCTGACCTTGAGATTCAAATGACCAGCTACTTAGTAACAGCTCTACCTGCATGTTGAGTTACACTCAATGTATCTACCACCAAGATCTTCATCTACCCGCTTCCTACTCAGAATCTGCTCTTCCCACAGTCAGCAGACCACCCAGCTCCTCCACACTGGTACCCTCCCGGTGCAGACTACCTCCTGCACAGAAATCCTCATTGATGGTCTCTACACCTCCTCATCTTTCTCACCTTTCCTGACTTTCCTGACCATGGTCTGCGTAATCCCATTTTAAGTTGCAACACTCATCTGATATTCTCCAATCCCATTCTCAGCTCTTTTTCTCCCTACCAATTATCTTGCTGTAAAATATATTTATAGCAGCCCTCCCCTTATCGGAGGAGATACATTCTAAGACCCCTAGTGTATGCATGAAACCAAACAATACTGAACCTGATATATATAATATATTATAATTATTAATTAATAT